CGGGGTACTGGTAACGGTGTTGACTGTCGTTTGTTCCGTTGTGGTTCCACGAAGTCAACTCTATTACCTTGTGTCAGCTCTGCCGCTGGCCTGTCTTGTGGCGTTGAATTCCTCAAGATGGCGTCTAACTTTGTCTGTATTGCACTTGAGCTCTCAGCCTGGTCCCTACTCATCGTATCCATTCTCGTTTCCAAACTCCCCAACTGGCTATTCACTGCGTCATATCGCTGCTTCATTTCTCGCATGTCTTTTCTGATGTTCTTGTCTCGCTCTTCATCAGTGGTATCTATTTTGTCCGACATCTGCTGAAGTTTTTCCTTTGTTGCTCTCGCTAGATGGAAATAGCTGTCCAGGCATTCATGTTTGTTGTTTCTTATTTCCTTCCTTATCGCATCTCTATCCTCTTCGCTGTGCTTCAGTTTCTCGTCTATCTGATCTAGCTTCGCCATCAAAACACCTAGCTCAAGAGTAGCTGTTCCATGGTCCGTTGTTGTCCTGTTGTCGGGACAGTTGTTGGGACAGGTTGTCCTGTTGTTGGTCGCTGTTCCCGGTCTGATCTGGTCCTCATTTTGGTCGGTGTCTGTCGTTCTCGTGGAAACTGTTCCGAATGTTTTGCCTTTCTCGGCTTTCGTCTCCTCCACTGCTGCGTCTCTCGACTTCATTCCGACCATTATCGCCAATCTTTTAGTAAAAGACGTTCTTTTTGCTTGAGACTCGTCCTTCGCCATTTCTGGCGTGTTGCCTGTTGTGTCTTCCACGTTGTCTATCGGTGAGAACTCCATGGACTTTGCATTAGGTTCTTCCGCATTCGGCATTGGAGTTGACTCTGTCGTCTTCTTTCCCACCTCATCCACACTTTCATCCGGTGTCTCTAGTTCAATCTCAATGGTGGGTTCTGCTTGTTTCCCTTCCGTGCCCTCTTTTGCTCTGTTCTCTGTATTACTCCTCGTCTTGACCATTCTAACTGAAAAGTTCTTCTTTGTTACCTTTGGACCCATTGATGTCGTTTTACGTAGCGACGAGTTATACTTTGTCTTCGCTTTGGTAGATCTTTTTTCAGCCACCGGTACCCTGCTCCGCCTCATTATTTTTATTTACATTTGTTCCTATTTACAGTATTACTATCTACAAAATTCTACTCTAAGGTTAAAACCTCTTTTGACAAAATTTGATAAAAAGGAATTTACAATTTACTAAAAACAACATTTCCTGAGCTTTTTGAAAATTCTATATGTTCTTGATCCCTACAGTACCGGATCTTTAGGACTGGATAGAAAATTTGATTTTGCTATTGGTTACTTCAACCTGTCTTAGTACTCTTTAGTACGGTCACCCCCCTTCTTTATACTACTCCAAGACTTCCTCTCTACTGTCCCAAGACTATTCAGTGTTGTCCCAGTACTTCTTGTTAGTGTCCCAAGACCACTGTCCCAAGACCCTTGCTCTAAGACTACTGTCCGAAGACTACTGTCCCAAGACTAATGTCCCAAGACCACTGTCCCAAGACTACTGTCCCAAGACTACTGTCCCAAGACTACTGTCCCAAGACTAATGTCCCAAGACTACTGTCCCAAGACTAGTGTCCCAGGACTACTGTCCCAAGACTACTGTCCCAAGACCACTGTCCCAAGACCACTGTCCCAAGACCAGTGTCCCAAGACCACTGTCCCAAGACTACTGCCCCAAGACTACTGTCCCAGGACTAGTGTCCCAAGACCAGTGTCCCAAGACTGTTTCGTACCAAGACTGTCCCAAGACTATTCAGTGTTGTCCCAGTACTTCTTGTTAGTGTCTCAAGACCACTGTCCCAAAACTACTGTCTCAAGACTACTGTCCCAAGACTACTGTCCCAAGATTAGTGTCTCAAGACTACTGTCCCAAGACTAGTGTCCCAAGACTAGTGTCCCAAGACTACTGTCCCAAGACTAGTGTCCCAAGACTACTGTCCCAAGACTAGTGTCCCAAGACTACTGTCCCAAGACTACTGTCCCAAAAAAACTGTCCCAAGACTACTGTCCCAAGACCACTCTCCCAAGACTACTGTCCCAAGACCAGTCTCGCAAGACTACTGTCTCAAGACTACTGTCCCAAGACTAGTGTCCCAAGACTACTGTCCCAAGACTACTGTCCCAAGACTACTGTCCCAAGACCACTGTCCCAAGACCACTGTCCCAAGACCAGTGTCCCAAGACCGCTGTCTCAAGACTACTGTCCCAAGACTAGTGTCCCAAGACCAGTGTCCCAAGACTGTTTCGTACCAAGACTGCTCTGGTCCAAGACTGTTCCAAGACTGCACCGTCCCAAGACTGTCCCAAGACTGCTCTGTCCCGAGACTGTCCCAAGACCGTGTTCCTCCAAGACTGTCCCCAGACTGCAATGTCCCAAGACTTCTTCGGTACTGTCCCAAGACTTGTCACTGAGTGTCTGGATATAGGATCTCTTCTTCTTCGTTGTGGGGACTCTTGAACCACTGTACCGTTTACCACCACTTGAGCTCTAGTAAAAAAAAATTCCCAAAATCCCTATCTTAATGGCCAAAACCCAAATACTGACCCCCCTGTATTTATCTCCCTCTCGTTGTTTCAGGCTATTTGAAACCCTAAATTCCTTGCAGGTATCTTGTGATCACCTGTTCGTTCGTATACCAACAACAAATATTCACCAAAACGTAAAAATTTAAACAGGAAAAATTTCAAAAACAGATAGATGAACCCACCTAAAATTCAAGGTTGACAGATGTCAATCTTTGTCCGAAAAAAATGTCTGGTACCCGATTGCCACGCGTTTTCCTCCCCCCTGCTAGCAATCTTATGGGGTATCACAAAAACTGTCTATGTCCTTTCCCCCCTACCGATCCGACCAGGGTACCTACCTTAACTCGATGTTAAATTTGGATATCCGCTTCTTATAAGCAACGCGTGTAAGTATCTAATGTAACTAAATCGACGATGCCGAACAATCAGTTACTCTAACGTGTCCCCCTTTTTTATGATTTACAACCGCCAACCTCTAACCTAACCAGCCCCCCTTCTAACCTTCCATCTCTTTAGCCCCCCCTCTTAAGCCAAAAAATCCCTTAAACGCCGTGTGCTAAACCTCTCGAGAGAAAACCGTAGACCTGTTTCCAGGCCTGCTTGTGTAAAAACTTCCTCAAAACAATGGGGCTCCGCTTATCCAATTTTACACTTATCTCATATAATGTAATGTGGATTTCAACGATACCCGTTTGCCCAACTTGAGAACACCCCTGTGCGTCCTCTTCTTGTTTTAGTGATCCCGTGCTGGTTGTCCCTTTGACGTGCACTGCACTTGACACCAGCGCCACCTTCCCACTTGGCTGGTCACCTCTTCCAGTCACGTTTCCTAGCGGTTCAGCTCAGTCCTTCTGAACCACTTTCCCACTCGGCTGGTCACCTCTTCCAGTCAAGTCTCCTAGTGGTCCGGTTCAGTCCTAGTGAACCACTTTCCTACTCGACTGGTCACCTTTTCCAGTCAAGTCTCCTAGTAGTCCGGCTAGATTGCAAGCTATCTGAAAACCCTTAACAACGCCCCCCACTCGGGCACCTTATTGAAGTCACTGGTTTAGATTGCTAGATTGATCGAAACGATCGGTCTTATAAAACAGTATGGGTATACTATTTAATTAATATAAAGGTTTGATCCAACTGATCTGGTATCAAAGTCTCTGCCTTTTTTGTTTTATGGTTTTTGTTCCTTTTTCTATACTTTTTTCTTGTTTTTGTTTCGATTTTTATCTTTTTGCTCGTGTTTTCGTCCCCCTAGTTACCTCCCTTACTCGGTTAGCTAGGCTTCGTTCGGAGAGCGTACCAGGAAGGTTTCTCAAGTTTTCTTAAAAAGCTATCCCGGTACAACCGGAAGGTTTACACGTTCCCGCTGAACCGTACCACCGGTACTCTAGAATGGGCATGCAGACCGGAGCTGTGTCAAGTGGGTTCGACTCCGTAGTCGTGATGTCGTAAAAACACCCAGGAGCGCCATAAAAACACTATGTAACAGTCGCCTACTTCGGTCACATATGAGGCTTGTGAGAAATAGGCCCTATAACCTTTGGCTCAAGAGTCAGGGACACTATCTCTTGTGTTTTTCTACCTCAAGAACGGTCGGAGCCAATTCGGTTCGCTTGCGACATGAGACTAGAACCCGTTACAGCTTAAAGGCTACTACCAAAATATCCCCCCACTCTAGAAAATAAGAACGTTCCCATACTTAGGTCTCGAAATACCCAAAATACACGAACGCCGTTAAAAACAGGGTCGGAACAATCCGTTAAGTTACTTTTCATTGGACAGTGGAACTTTGATCCATTTCAGATGGATCAACCTAAAACTCGCCTTATCTCAACATAACAATCATAAAACACACTCGAGAAAACTAAATTTAGTACTCACATAGCAGCACGCTTGAGACACAGAGTAATTGAACTAATTAACGACTCCGGCATAAATATAATGAAATGTAACTCAAGAAGTTTTCTAATGACGAGTCCCAATCAAGGGAAGTAAGTTCTAACTCAAGAATATAGTTTTGACTCTGGACCATTGGGAGACTTCACTTGTCCACCTTTCCGTTGAAGGTTCACACTGGTCCAGTTAATTTTAGTTCCGCTCTCTTGTTCGTTTGGTCTCCTATATCAGATAGGACAGCTCTACTCTCGTTTTCTATGATGGAAATTGCGAATAGCGATTTCCGACTGTATATATTTGACGACTTTCCCGCAATTGTTAATTCGGTCGTTCTGATTTTTCATTTTATGTTTTCAGTTGTCGCGAGAAAACTGAGCATGACAGGCTCCATTCGAAATTTTGAAAAATAAAACTTCACTCCAAAATCACGTATATTCGTGTCCCTCAAGGTCACACTTCCAGATATGACCGACTGGCACATAACCTAGCTTTATATTCCGTCGTTATGTACTTCCGGGCGAATGTCACACAATCTGGAAGTTAAAATGTAGGATCAAGAATGTTTTCAATGAAACACACGGGTTTTTGACTGCTTCAGAGCAATAATGGGCGAGCTCTCGTTACGACCAACAATCGAGCTCTGTGCAAAATTGGAGTTCATTGGTATCTAAATGATGAAGTTCAATGTTTCGATCATAATTTTTGTTCTGTGTATTGCCGGCATCAATACGAAATCAAATTGTGATTGGATTACAATAGTGGATACTCAGTCAAATGAGAATAAAAGAGAAACTAATTTGAATCTCTCCGCAATCTGCGACGGGATTTGTGGTAAAGTAGGCGAAGCGTTCAATTTATTAGAAAGTGATACACCCCAAATTTCTCCTTGGTTTCTCCATTATCTAATATTACAAGGTTTTTTGTTATTTTAGGCACAGACTTCTGACCCTTCTTCGAGCGTCTGCTGTAATTTCAAAAATGGTTCAGCGTTGTGCCAAAAAGAAAATTCTATTGCAATATTGTTTAATCTAACTCAACTTCTACAAAATTGCAGCCTAGTGTTTGATAACAGTGGCTTGGAAGAATGCGCATCATCCCCAAAAGTTAGTGAAAGTTATATCAAAATAATGGTCAGTTTTTTTACTGTGTGTTCAGAGAATTTGCCTGTTATTTGCTCAAGTGAAATTGTTTATTGTATCACAATAACAAACTACTGGGGTTTCAAAGACTGTTAAAAACTCAATTTGTGAAATCATAACATCTTTTATCTATCTTTTACATTTATCTATTATATCTATCTATTGTATATTTAAATGCGGGCTTCACTATCTCGCCATGATTGAGCTTTTTCAACATATTTTTTTGCATGTTAAAGAAAAGATTTTTGCACGTTTAAGCTATAACGTATATTTCGATGCTTAGAATTTTTTTCGATTTTCCAGCTTGATTTCAATGTTTTTTTTTCGCCCGGTTTGAAATTAGCAAACGAAAAGTGTGATGCTGACAGGGTTACCGTAGGGGTTGCAAATTTGGCCTCCAGACATGAATACGTAAATGTTTTCAGTTTCCTATATTTTATGTCTTAGCAACTTTCATGTTCACTAATCTGTTTGAAGCACCGGAGGTGCGTTATACGCTAGTATATATTAAGTTTATTAACTAAAGGAGGAAATAGTTGAACTGAAACGGTTGGTTGAAACTTTGTCGAAACAGGAGCGCGGTGCGTTAGTAGATAACCGCGTTTTAATACTAGTCAGTAAGTAGACAAATATTTTTTCTAATCAGAATCGAGATGATAAAGCAAACGTACGAAATAATTCTTTTCGCATCTGGATTCTGATTGGATAGTTACACTTGCGCGAGTGTCTTAAAATCGGGAACAAGAATTTTTCGCGTAAACAAATTTCCTTGTAATCGGAAACTTGATTACAAGAAACTTTAGTTGATTACCGAAGTAGCGTCTTTTTTCACGTTGGATTCAGGAAAAATCCATTTCCAGTAAATTGAAGATGGTAGCACATCGAATTCTTTAAGACACATCGAACTATTCGTTTCGTAAATTTGCTTTCGCATCTCGATTCTGATTGGATAATTACACTTGCGCGAGTGTCTCCTCTTGGTTTTTTTGGCGCCTAAAACTTTTATTCGGCCGAAATGGTCTCAATATATTTAAATGCGGGCTTCACTATCTCGCCATGTTTAAGCGTTTTCAACGTATTATTTTTCCATGTTTAAGCTATATCGTATATTGCAATGGTTGAGAATATTTTTTCGATTTTCCAATTTGATTTTAGTGGTTATTTTACCGAGTTTAAATGAAGCAGCCCAAAATCGAATTAGGAGTTGCGAATTTGGCCTCCAATTTTGAATGCCCGAATCATTTAAGTTAACGAGATAAGACGATTTTTGAGATTTTTTTTAAAATTTTCAGAAATTTCAAATAACAAAATAATTTACAAATTTCCCATCCCTGTAGTTGGGTGCTGTCAGAGTACTCTAAGGAGATAAAAATCTTGCCTCCAAGTATCACTGTTCAAATCCTTGTAGTTTTCGAAATATGACGTTTTTTGAGATTTTTTCAAAAAAACTTTCAGTAAACTTATTAATTTTTTCCCCGCAAAATCTGAAATTCCCAACCCTGTAGTTGGGTCCTGTCAGAGTAATATCAAAGATTGCGAATCTTGCCTCCAAATATGACTGCTCAATTCTTTGTAGTTTTCGAGATGTGACGTTTTTTGTGATTTTTTCAAAAATTTTCAGAAAACTTAAATTATTATTGTTCTTTAAAAATCTGAAATTCTCAACCCTGTAGTTAGGTCCTGTCAGAGTAATCTCAAAGATTGCGAATCTTGCCTCCAAATATGACTGCTCAATTCTTTATAGTTTTCTAGATAAAACGTTTTTTTGTGATTTTTCAAAAATTTTCAGACAACTTTAAATTATTATTAGTTTTTTAAAATCTGAATTTCTCAACCCTGTACTTAGGTCCTGTCAGAGTACTCTCAAAGATTGCGAATCTTGCCTCCAAGTATGACTGCTCAATTCTTTGTAGTTTTCGAGATGACGTTTTTTGTGATTTTTTCAAAAATTTTCAGAAAACTTAAATTATTATTGTTCTTTAAAAATCTGAAATTCCCAACCCTGTAGTTGGGTCCTGTCAGAGTAATATCAAAGATTGCGAATCTTGCCTCCAAATATGACTGCTCAATTCTTTGTAGTTTTCGAGATGTGACGTTTTTTGTGATTTTTTCAAAAATTTTCAGAAAACTTAAATTATTATTGTTCTTTAAAAATCTGAAATTCTCAACCCTGTAGTTAGGTCCTGTCAGAGTAATCTCAAAGATTGCGAATCTTGCCTCCAAATATGACTGCTCAATTCTTTATAGTTTTCTAGATAAAACGTTTTTTTGTGATTTTTCAAAAATTTTCAGACAACTTTAAATTATTATTAGTTTTTTAAAATCTGAATTTCTCAACCCTGTACTTAGGTCCTGTCAGAGTACTCTCAAAGATTGCGAATCTTGCCTCCAAGTATGACTGCTCAATTCTTTGTAGTTTTCGAGATGACGTTTTTTGTGATTTTTTCAAAAATTTTCAGAAAACTTAAATTATTATTGTTCTTTAAAAATCTGAAAATCCCAACCCTGTAGTTAGGTCCTGTCAGAGTACTCTCAAGGATTGCAAATCTCGCCTCCAAATATGACTGCTCACTTCTTTGTAGTTTTCTTTGTAATTTTCAGAAAGTTCAAATTAATTGTTTTTCAAAATTTGAAATGCCCAACGCTATAGTTCGGTGTTGTCAGGGTACTCTAAAAGAGTTGCAAATCTTGCCACATGGCTAAACGCGACTGCTCAAATGCTTTTAGTTTCCGAGATGTGAAGTTTTTTGATTTTTTCGAAATTTCTCAAAGAACTTATCTACAAAGAAATTCAAAAAATGTGAAACTACTAACTTGATGTAATCAGAAGATCAAAAGTATCATAGTAACCGAGGTTACAGTCAGGAGTCCCTTCATCACGTATTCCAGTCAAAAGTCTTGGAATTTTCTAGATATGGAAGTGATAATGATAAAAGAAGATAACAAGTGTTTTTTGAACACCCTAACTTGATAAAGATACAACCTTTTTGTCAGCGTACACCCAGGCGTCTCAAATCTTGCCTCCTAATATGAATGCTCAAATCCTTTTGGTTTCCGAGATAAGACGTTTTTTTCATTTTTTATTTTCGGGAAACTTAGGTTTAAAAAAAATCCCAAAATTTTGGATTCCTAACCCTATAGTAGGGTGCTCTCAGGGACTCTCAGTGGTTGGAAACTTGGCCTCCATATTTCTCCACAGGCTCATTAAGTTTTCGAGATGACGCTTTTAAAATGGGAATTAAAAAAATTTAAAAGTTCAAAATTACCAACCCTGTAATTGGGTGCTGTCAGAGTACACTAAAACTTTGCAGATGTTGTTTCCAATATATGCGGTTTTTCATGAGTTGTCGAAAAATTTCGAAGCACCGAAGGTGCGTTAAACGCTAGTTAGACTTTAAACTTTTCCCTTGACAACTTTTTAAAACAGATTTGTACGAAATTATGAATTTGCTCTTTTAGCGCACCTTGAAAACTTTGAGACTATTTTGCACTTGGCCTGGAGGTAACATGGTTTCCCAATGTACCCTAAGGTCTGGGATTCGAGCACCGACCGGACCTTATTCTGTTTTCATTCTATATGAAATTGATTTTTGTCCAGAAAATATGAGTTGTCGAACAACTTTCGTCTGTCTGTTTATGTTTTTTCGGCTTAGTTGCCACATCGGGGAAGCTTCTTGTGTTGTCAGCATTTTCATTGTTGTATGTTTCCTTGGTTTTCCTCTTGGTTTTTTGGCGCCTAAAACTTTAATTCGGCCGAAATGGTCTCAAGTTGTGTTTTCTGCTTAGTTACCTTACTTGGTGTCAATTCAAGAGCAAAAAATGATTGACAACAATTTCTGATGGCATTTTCTGTTCTCAGCTCAAAGGACGTGGTGCCATTTATTGTCGAGCAGTGGCCATGCGGTAAATTCTAAGAGCTTATTTAATATTATTGGTTGTTCTTCGACTGTTTTTCTTTTAATATTTTTAATCCTTACCACTTTTTTCGGTTTTGTTATTTCCGTCTATTTACACTTTCCTAATGCTGCGCTTCAATTGTATCACGAATTATGCGAAGCTGTGCTTCGCCTCTGCTTATAGTTTTTGTTTACTCACTGACGAGTACGAATACGCGGTTGTCTGTCTATTTAATGCTACGTAACCGTCAAAACATGAAGCAGAGAAAAAATATTTAACTTACGTTAAGCGTCCGCGGCTGATAGGGAAGGATGCGAGACTCTAAATCAAAGATCGCACATTCGAAAATGACACATAGCAAAGCTTCTACTAATTTGAGGCTCATTTCTACTTTTTTTCATTTCGCTATACGGAGATGCTTTTTTGGCCGTTTTCTCACTACTGGCTGCAAAGCGCAGCTTCGCCTCTGTTAAAAGTTGTTTTTGCAATTTTAGTTCTAATTTTAACGCCAATGCATAATAAAACAATAACTAGAAGTGAAAATGTAAGTGAGAGCACAATGTTTTTTCTTAAGCAATCTGCGAGGAAAGCTCTGGTACCCAATTTGATGTCAGTTTTATCATGGCAACTTCATACTTTTTGCTAGCCGCGCAATGAATCATTTCTTTTAATGAATCATATTACCATTCGTGTGGGGGTTACAAGTATGATAGTTAGGCTCCTACAAAATACGTGTATGAAAGATTGGTCCCGCCGTTTTGCTACGAGTAAACTTACAATTTTTTATTCACGTTTAAATATCTGTCTAATAGCTATCTAACCCTGATGGACTTGATTAAAGTAGAACAAAATTTACCGAAACTGGAAATATGCATTTGTTAAAACTTGCACCAATCAAAAGCGAGCTTTTTCCAATGAAAAATCGATTAGTGTATTTCGAGAAAAGCGAATTATTTGAATAAGTATACCGAATTATATTGCTTAAATAGTTTTTGTGGACTTCAAAATTCAACTATAGTCTACCACGGATAAATGGCGTGCTTACAGTTGTATCGATGGAATTTATGTTGTATCATGGATTCAACGTGAAACAGTAAATCACTTTCTGGTTCAATGGTGTCCGGACGAATGCAATTGAATGTATGAGGAAAATTGCGAAAAGAAGTTATAAGGCCGTGTAAAGCGTTCGCAGTTCTATGTTGGAAAGTCACCTCAATAAGTTTCTTCAGAGACATTAAGTCGAAAAAATGCATACAGAAATTACCAAAAAGTTGTTAAAGGACATTTCTGAATAGTATCCTTACCTTAAATAAATTAATGTTCTACAACCGTTTGTTTATTCATTACCCTACTATCTATCACCCTTGTGTTGTTTTTTATGGTCATTTTTTCCTGCCTAATTTGATTTTTGTATAACTTTTCACGGTCTTTATCTTGGGAGAATAATAGCATGTGTTTATCAGATTAATTGATGGCTGGTGTTTGAGGACTGCAAGGCAGTATGGTGCAGTTTTGAGCACACAAGGTTTTAATCTCAAGGTCGGGGCTCAAATCACGCATTAGGCAAACTCTTTTCAATTTTACAGCGCTTTTATTTAAGTGTGATTGGGCGAAGTGAAGACACGTGTTAAGATCTTGCTATTTTTTAAAAATTCTTGAGGAAAGCAAGGTTTTTCTATGTAGGTCGTGTCGTTTTTAATTCTTGAGAAAAATTTTGTTTCTGAAGTAGATTTTAGTTTTTTAGATTTCACAGCGGAATAAAAAGGTTGTGCTTCGATTCAGTTTTTCTCTAAATGTTATTTTATGAATAGGTGGTGTCAATCATAAAAAGATTATTGAAATTGAAAGTGCTTTCACATGAGATAAAAAAAATTGCTGCTCTTTTCTAATTCTTTCGGCCATGTTGTTTACATGCATTGAAAGCTCCCTTTGCCATTTTTTTTGCTTGTTTGAGAAAAGCAGCATTGCACAGGTGCTAAAAAAAATTTAATACACTAGATGAAAAACCAGTAGTTTTTTTTGCTATTATCTTGTTACGCTTTCGAACGGTCCGTTGGTTTTGATCATTTCTTTTAGTTAAATGAAGAGTCGTTATTTGAGAAAAGGCAGATTATCATACTGAATAAGTTTTAATTTAGACAAGGAACAGTGCGAACAAAAATGAGGACGAGGAGGAACACAATGTGAGGTCTCGTGGTTTCACAATCGAAGGTGTGATTGGAATCCTCATTCTGTTTGTGGCTCTCTTTGTGCTCTTTATCTACTTTTTGAAAACTAGTCGTTGGCGCTCTGTTGAATATATCCGCACAGCTTGTAGCAACAGATTCACTTTTCTTCTTTTCCAGGTAAAAATCAACAATCTTTCTATAAAATTTATAAAAGTGTTTCTGGATTCAAATTTTTCTTTAAGTTGAAGTGGATTTTTTGATACCGTTTTGCTGCTGCGCATTGGTAAATCGTTCATTTTAACCTAGATTTTAATTTTAATTTCCGTGCCAACCATGGTGTCGGGTACTTTTTACTAAGATATGAGTGTGTGTGTGTGTTCAGAATCAGAAGGAGACTGTTCGCTACTCCCAAGTGCTTAGTGAGGATTTAGGACTGGATGATGATGATGATGATGAAGACTTCCGGTTGGGTGTGAATGAGGACGACGATAGTCTGACTGATCTTCCTCCAATCAAACTCTGACGGCGGGAGATGAGAGGGATATTAGATGCCAAACATTGAGATGAGAGGAAGCTGTCAAATATTAAGTTAATTGCAACCAGAGGTGTTCTCCCAGTATTCATTGATTACAATTCACTGATTGGATCAATTTTTCCGTTCTATAGCTCAATGAGTTTTGATCAAAGACTTGTTAAAGGAACGTTATTTCACACTTTTTCTGATCTTTTTCGATTGAAACACTAAAAACGTGCCAAATACATTTGATGAAACTACATTCAATAGTTTTTGTAATAATGGACACCTCAGTTTGCAAATGACACAACAACACGCTACACTTATTCTATTAATAATTTTTAAAATCTATTTATCAAGTAGTATTAGTTTTCAAATTCAACCATTTTATGGGACTGTAAATAAAGATTTTACGCTGCTTAATAAAGTTTTTAAATATGAATCATATCCAACTAGTGCTGAAAAATTGCTCAAACATGTTCTGCGTTTCGTTGGTTAACCATTTTTGATATCCTTTTATCCCATTTTTGAGAGATTAATTGTGAATTCTTCGCTGATTCCTTGAATAGATAGTAATTCAAATTCTATGGCGCTTAATGTCTGTTTTTACGGTTTAGACACTACTTCTGAAAGCTCTGACTCAAAAGTAGATATTACAGATATTCACGTTTTTTTGGCTGAATATGAAGGCTTCGAGACGCTAATTTCACAATTTTCACTATTTGAGTTGGCGCAAAAAACAAGTAGTATCTCAAATAGAGTCTATGAACGTACAGTGTGTTTCAAATGAACTGTATTTTTATGAAACGCTATAACTTATGTTTCAGAAAAGATAATTGGACATTTTTTTGCGAAAGAGAGAGAAGTGACTGAGATTTAAATACCTGATAAAGTTATTTTTATAAAAGACGTTTGAAGTGTCCGCCGTTTTGCCAACAAATAATCGTTATCTTTTGTTCAAATTCTTCAATGAATCCTCATTATTACCGGGCGTTATCGTACTCCGGGAATCTTCAACAGTTGGCATGAATTCTTCAATACTTCCTGGGTTCGCACGATGCACATTTTGTTGCTCGTTGTTCACGATTGAAAAACGTGATGGACTTCTAGTTTCGAAATTGGAATTTAGGTTTCAGATTTCCCTGCGAAATAAAAAAAAACCTGTTGATCCAGTTTTCTCAAATTGATTTGAATTTATCGAAAGAGTTTACTCATAATTTTTTCAAGAAATTCAAAGAGCTAATGCCATCTAACTTTTTTGTTCGAAAGGCCATCATTTGTTTTTTCTTGCATTCTTGAATCTTTTCCAATTGTCTGTTGGCTGTTTTCGGAATTGTGGTTTTCGTCGTTGTATCTGTCGACTGATTTCACGTTTGTTTTCCAAGTTTGTACATTGACCAAACCTGATTGTCCATAATTTTATTGATTTTTTTTCGTTCAAAAGGGTTCGGCTTATGTTATATTGGCTTAGTCATTTGATGTTTTTTATTTTAACAGTTTCGTTTTCGGCTTAACGAGGGTCGAGCTTTGTTTTTGCTTATTTGACACTCGGTCATTGATTTTCAATACTTGATAATACTTTATGATCCTCATCTTGGACAAAGGTCGGAAGTTTTTATAGATATTACTTTTTTCCAGTTTTTTCAATTATTTTTTTCCGCCTCATTTATTCAGCTTAATTTCAGTTTACTTTTCAGCTAAATTGACTTCATCGTTTTTTCTATTGAAAATCTTGTAACGCAATGTCTTAATTGCATCGCGAATGTTGCAAAGCTCCGCGTAATTTTTTCGTATATTTCGATTGTCTGGATTTTTTTTTATTAAACTGAAATTTCGAAAAGCTACCGATTTTTGAATTTGAATGCTTTTTGTGTGTTTATAATACAACAAACGATGCATATTAATAGCACACAGGGACAAATCATGAGCCCTGGATAACCTTACATAAGGTTGGAGTGAAGAAATAAGCTGATTTACTGTCACTTGTTTAGATCAGGTCAAAAAGTTCTAAGTTTTTGTTTATGGAGAGCGTCTTAATTCATTATAAAACTTTTTTTTGACAGTTTTTGAATATTTACAGGAATGAGTTTGTTTGTTTGTTTGTTTGTTTAGAAAAATTTATCAACCTTGACTTTAACCGGTTTTTGTTAACAAGGAATAGAATGTAGAATTTTATTTCCCATCTGAAAACTGCGGAACTTTTAGGAAACAAAGCGGTGACTTATTCAAAATTATTCTTTCAATCTTGTCTGAAAACTGTGAAATCTTTAGGAAACAAAGCGGCGATCTCTTTAAAATTTGATCAATAGTCTCTTTGGTTGCTTCATAAAAAATAGTTAGGATACTGTTGCGATAGCATTTCGGCTGAAAACATTGTATATGATCTAACTTGCGTTTGAAAAACTTCATCTAAGGATTCTTTTTTGCATTAAAAGAACGCAATTAAGAGTCGTTTTTGTTGAGTAACCGTATGTCAGTAGGCCATGGCTGTTTTTTTTTTGGACTGGAATATACTGGTGCATATAAATCATAAAAAAAACAGTGAAACAGTTACACATGTCAATGTGACTTTTAAATGTTAGTTTTTTATTAATAAAAAGACCTAAGGATTTGAAACTGTCTCTGATTTGAACTTGAAACGCACAAAAAAATTCGCCTTTGTAGTTGGGAATCTTTCAGCCAAAATGATTTATTTGACTCCATGAACAGTTAGTTGTCTAATGATTATTTGTGCACCAGTCTACCACTTTTCTTAGATTGGCAGTAGTAAGAAAACTTCTTTGCCATTTTCGTCAAAAGTAGATATCGCTTATTCGAAGTGTCTTCGGAATCCCCGAGCTCGCAAATTTGACATAAATCACTTAGCACAGCGTGAAATGTTTTGCTGGACTCATTCCAGTTCAGTTTCCTCTAAAACAAAGACTAGATATTGAATGCCCAATTACGATGTCATTTGAACCAGTCGTTAAATCAGAAATTGTAATCATTGCGTGTTTATTTGCATTTTTCATTGTCCTACTTGAGGGTAACAAAATCTTTGGTCTTATTTTCAGGGGTATGTTATTTTTGTTCCCTACACCGATTGCCTTGATCCTTTTACACTCATTCTCCAATTAGTTTCAGTGATTCCTTATTTCGTGTTCACGCAACGATTAGTATGTTGTATTCTCATGCTCCAGTCACTAGAATAGCGACTATGCAAGTGAGCTCTCCGTTGGTTTTTGCTATCGAAGAGCATCTAAATCTAAACCTATCCTCCTAGTAACGGCTAGCATTGAAAATTGCTTCCATTTCACCACGGAATTGTACCCTGTGGATTTAGCCGCTCTTTAAAAATATTAAATCCAGGAGGGTTTTACTGGCTCCACTGTACCATGTACCAAGAGATTTAAGTCCTTGGTCCTAAATGCCGAATATTAGAAAGAACCTCTGTTCCTATTCACCCAAGTTCCCTCGGATACTTACTAAAATTTATAGATAGCATCCAAATCATATAAGTTTTGAGTTGAGCTATTAAAAAGCATTCGGTATGCCTGATTTCAAATCATGTCTCACAACAATAAAAATTAATCAGAAAAGACTACTGAAAAGCAGCCATTGTTTGACCTTGAAGGGGATTCTCAATTTCAACCTAATTTCAACCTTTTTTTAGTAGAACAACAACAACGGTATAGATATGGCGTTTGACAATGATGGCAATTGAACATATTTCGGCCATTGAGGGGCGCATTCCAAGTTTCATAGTAAATTTTATTATGTTAACTTTCTAGCAGATAGAAAATTATCCGTTGATGATATCAAGTTCAGTTAGAGTCCAGAAGATCAATCCTTATTTCGCAAAGGATCTATCCTTATTTCTTAATCGCGTTCTACTGGTTTCGCTAACGTTTGTTTCACTAGCGTTTGGCTTACAATAGGTAATTAATGCTTAATTTCAGCCGTGAAAACTTAGTTTTACTCGGCGCTAAAAAACTCCAAAAACTAAGTTTACTCATTTTGGGAATCAAAAACTTCCCAATTTCTGCATTTCATTTTTTTCTGAATTTTCATTTTTTCTGGTATTTTTTTCGATAAAAATGGTTCTAATTTGCCTATTTTACTATGACTGCTGAATATGCTTAAGTTCTAGTTTTTCGTTCTGATCGTTTTATCACACCACACAGAAAAAAAAAACGACTCAATTGAAGAAAAAAATTCGTTTTTTTTAAGCTATGGTCGAAATAATCTGTGCTAATTGCACAGTATATATGCTCAAAAGACAAGAGACAATTATGTCGCAACCAACACTCAGTGGTGGATATAGTTACTGTTTCCTTAGAATGTTTCCGCAACAAACGGAGATCATGGGGCATGTAATCGAAACCCCAGTTTCTCAACCGAGAGAAGTTAAGTCTTTCACCGCTCTACGACCACTTTCTCTGAATAATAGTTTTGCCACTTTAGTTTTGCCACTAAAAATGATCTTAACTAAACTTACGTTACAACATCATTATCGCATTGTCTGTCCAGGTTGTCATTATGTTTATTAAGGAGAATGGCGCCGGCCAAAATGATTTTGGCAGTGGTGCTAAACTCACTCGCGTTCAAGGGGGCATCATTAGGTGATCCGGTTTCCGCTTGAATCACAGCGTATCCAGGGGAATCGAAGCATTTGTCGGTGAACTTTGAGAGAGCGTAGTCTTCAATTTCAAACCGAAATGGCCCGTCCCCCTCGAACGCCGAAGACCTTCGAGCGGCGAAACACCAAGTGTACAAGACAGCAACCGAAGCTGCTATCCAGACTCTAAATGTCATCTCTTGAACATAGAACTTTTATTCTGATCGGCAATCACTGTTTCTCAGATTGCCAGATTTACTTCCATGTTCAAGAGTTTTCCTGGGTTTCAATCAAGTTTTGCCATAAATGACCGGTGCGAATTTAAAAAAATACCACTGAAAGTTTATATACACAGTATCCTTCTTGAATCTTGCCTTTGGAGAAGGGGTTATTCGCTTCCTGGCGGTGACCGATGTTTTAACTTGATAAATTCCAGGGCATCTTTTACTTTTTTGTGAGTGTTTATTTTATGTCCGCATTTAAAATTGTCAGTGTTTACTTGTTTCATCGTTTGTGTGTGGGGTTCGAAAATTTTTTGCAGAAAAAAAAAACAAAAATTAGTTAGTTTTTTTTACGCATGCATGTATTTCCGAATCATATAGGGGCATGTAAATACAATCCTGAAAAAATATTTTCCGATTGAAGCTCAGCAATAATAAGAACGTTTAGCAGTGTTTTCAGAGAGTATCATTACTTTCAAAATGTCTTAACGTTTCGAGATGTCATAAACTGTCCTTGAACGCATAGTTTGACAAGTTTTTGTTTCGTAGCTCGCTAGCAAGTTTAAGAGATACCTAATTAGACTTTGATTTTGACTCTGGAGTGTATTTCTGATTGTGATGTTGATTGTATGCGTAGTGATTACAGCTGTCTTCTTACAGAAGCCTTCTTTTTTTAGACTTATCATGGAATCAAATTTAGACCCAACTGATCAAATTAGTTCCAATGAAATGTCGCAAACAACTGCAAATGATAGAAATGAAAATTATGCTCAAACTAATAATCAGCAGTCGTCCTCGGCATCATGGCCGCAGTCAACAGCCAATGTTTCAAATAGCTTTAATTGCCCCCATATTGCTGACTCAACTTACAGCAATCGCCGCGAGCAATCTCGGCAAAATTCTTCCGTTGGCCTAACAGCTTCTAGTTTTATGCAAACCGATGAGACCCATAGACTCAACCAACAGGGATCTGCTTTCGGTCAATCCGGACAGACGTCTGGTTTCGGCCAATCAGGACAGACGTCTGCTTTCGGCCAATCAGAACAGAGGTCTGCTTTCGGCCAATCAGGACAGACGTCTGCTTTCGGCCAATCAGAGCAGAGGTCTGCTTTCGGTCAAACAGGACAGACGTCTGCGTTCGGCCAATCAGGACAGACGTCTGGTTTTGGCCAACCAAGACATACTTCTGGCTTTGGAAGTTTTTCAGCCTCAACTTTTAGCCCAAACTCTGTTGGTGGTTTCACAAGTGTAACAACAGGTGTTGAAAGTTCTAACACCAATTCAAATAGAAATAGACGCCACAACGGTCGAAGACATACCACGAGTAATTTTTCTAGTGCGAATAATCAACGCCTGTTTTTTGGCCCCGTGGAAGACGACGAAGAGGATGAGGATGGAACTTTGATCCTCATGAATGGAAACCGACCGGATGCTCCGCCGAACTCGCGTCTGTTTGTGATATGTGCTAAAACTGTGCAAAAACAACAGTTGAAAAACTTCTTCGTGTCTTATGGCGATGTGAAGCAGGTGTACTTGATTAAAGACAAGCAGTCCAATCAAAACAAAGGCTGTGCTTTTGTCACGTTTGCAAGCTCATATGCAGCACTAAGAGCTCTTGAAGCTGTGAGTGATTTCAAGCCAAAGTTGGGCAATAAAAATTTAAAAGCGAGGCTCGCGCAGGATCTAGATAAGGCGGGCGACAGCATTCAAAGCGAAGGACAGTCAAAAAGCAAAAGCAGTCCCAACATTACAGAGGAAAGCGAGGAACGAAAATACTTAGAGAAGTTATCCAAAATTAGAGTGTCAATTCACTCAAGTGACAGTGAAGAATCATTGTCAGCCTACTTTTCAGCATTTGGAAAGATTGAATTTGTGAATATTTTGAGAAACAAAGACAGCATAAGATCAAAAGGAGTAGCAGTTATTAAATTCGAACGAGCGTCGTTTGCAGCAAATGCAATCGAAAACAACAAGCAGATAAGATTCCACCCAGTCATAGCTTCGACATCCAACTTATGCGATTCAGCAGCGCCCTCAACTGCAACTCGGGTTCCAACGAGTGGAGAAGAGTGTACGAATGGCGAAGTTTCTACTGTGGCTGATGTGAGCTTGAATCGCGAGGAGAGAATGATGGCGGCTGCAATCTGGGGTCTACCGCAACGAGACATGATAGTGCGCTATGACCGCAGTCTGACAGACGTGCAATTGTTCAAACTACTGGACATTGTACCAGGATTAGAGGATATCAAACTGGAGTCGGCGCCAGGTACATTGTCACAGGTGCAAGAGCAGTCGGAAACCAAGTGCTGCTACCCCAGATTTAAGACTCCACTCAACGCCCTGTATGCTAGGGAAAAGCTAAACGGCTTCGAGTATCCTCTCGGAAAGTTCATTAATGTCTCGTTCAAATCGACTGTTATGAATAACGACGGGGTGATGGCACTAGCGAATGAAAGAGTCTCGAACAGCAGCGATAACTGCTGGCCCAGCGAGTGTATTCAAAACGAGCCAAATGTGCAAAGTGCAAATAACTTGAGCAATTTTGGGGATATTTTGATTAGAAAAGAGGGAGCGGACTGCTCTGTTGCAGCATATCAACATGGAAACTATTTCGAAGAGCAGTCTGAAAAAAGTTACGGAGGGGAAGGAGACGGAGCCGGAGGATGGGGGAGCCAGAATGGAGACTACGACTGCATTGAACCTAGTTTAGATGAAGACGAGTATTACCACCCCGGAGAAGGAGACGATGAAGAGGATCATTTCACGTTTGGGGATAATACTACCAACTCAATTCAGTCGGCCAATTCATCTCCAAGTGGGGGTGTGGTCCTAGTTTCAAACGAAGAGCTGTTGCGAAACAGTGCGTCTAATGGAAGAAACATGAACTGGTATCCTTTGCAACAGGCAACAAATGCCACTGCCAAGCAATAGTTTTGCTAAACTCTAAATTAAAGAGACAAGTCGTTAAAATTTGTAAATTTCTGAATTTTTTGTTTACTAAGTATTTTTTTTTTCGTTTCTTACAAATGGAGCGAATAATATTTAATTTAACTAGGCCAGAATATGTGCTTTATAGCTGCAATTGTCAAAATAAGAGTTCTTATTTGTAGAAAATTTGGAAGTATCGTCTGGTCACTACCAATAAAACGTTATTTTTGATGGCAAACGAACTTCTGTTGTAGGTCGCAATGTTGTGTATGATACGCTGAGTTGGAAGTTATGAAACGATCTAAGATCTTTGACTCAACTAATGACTCCAGCTTAGCTTCGACTTCAACGACCAATGAGGATTCGCCCAAGTTGGCTGATAATACCTCAGACGAAGGTACCTCAGAAGCGTCGACTTCCAAATCGCTGAGAACGGACATTTGCACATCCTCCCTTAGTCAAAGTACGAGTTTGGCATCAAGCTTGCGAACTAATGGGCGAGATGAAATCAATGCTAATCGATCAGTTGCAACCCATCAACTGAACACTGTCACTCCTATGAATAGTTCCCAATTATCTCACTTTATGGAAGGAATAGTTCAAGGTCATGGCCATACGGGGACACTTCAGGACATAGCAGGAGGTGGGAGTCCCGTCTCTACATCGGCCATAACAGTATCTTCGGTGGACTCAACGGCACTTTCGCCTCAGTCGCCCGGATCTCTGCCTTTGACTTCAGCATACGCCTGCTTCATGTCAAGGGCTGCCAAAAACTACTCGCCGAACAATCCAGCGAGTCCTCTGGTGTGTGATGATTCGGGTTACTCTCCTCCGCCATCCCCGCCACCTGCTCACATAGGCGACTGGCTCGCTCAGTTCAGCCAGTTTCCTCTATCAGACAAACACACGGCATTAGACAGACTCCTAGATACGTGCAATTTCGACCAATTGCGCTACATGTACTCTATGATAGAGCCACAGTTCCAGTTTGACATCATTTCCAAACTGCCTCGTGAGGTTGGATTGCGAGTGTTCCGATACCTTAGCCCTAAAGATCTCTGCAATTGCTGCTTAGTTTCCCAAGATTGGAGAAGCATAGCTGACGATAACCTGTTATGGAGAGAGAAGTGTCACGAATCAGGTGTGCAAGTGAGTGGATCGAATCCCACTGCTGTCGCGCCCCCAAGTGAGATGCATCAGTTTGACAAAGACTGGAAATCGGCCTGTTTAGAAGACGCCGAGGTCGAGTACAATTGGAGAACCATGTCAAGTTCAGCCAGTTGGCCCAGCCACGACAACCATGTGATCACTTGTCTACTGCTGCACGAAAACAAAGTGATCTGTGGCTCTGACGACTGTAGCATAACTATCTGGGACCTGGATGATGTGGAAGCGAGAAGTGATAGTTCAAGTGAACTTCGGATGCCGCCATGTCCTCTGGTCCTCATTGGACATCAAGGAGGTGTCTGGTCCTGTGAAGTAACCCGTGATAAAATTGTCAGCGGTTCTACTGATCGAACTTTAAAAGTAGGAAATGCAACCAATGCGTGTCAGATTTTAGGAATATTTCTTGTGTAATAGCACAAAAATTCTTGCAATTATAGATTAAAAAACGTAAGAATTTGAGCTAAATTTTTAAGTGTCAATGAACGTAGTGAGGAAACTTACATAGGTTACTAACACCTAATTATCCCAATGTCGCGGCGTAATGAAATTTTGAATTGATGTGCTTTTTCAAATGGCTTGAAAAAATGCATAAAGTGATTACCTTGAAAGTTTCCTTAAAATTGAAACTAAGGTGACTTTTTGCGACTAAAATTTGAACGTTATAATTGAAATTTGTGTCTAATTTTTCTATTTTTTGGGCATGAAAATGAGCATCGTTTCTTCAATTCTCTAAAAATTGAAAAACGTGGTGCAATTTGTCAGCCCTGGCGGACGGCAATAGAAAGAGGAAAATATTCAGTTTTTTTAAAGGGAGGAATTGAGAAAAATGCCTAATGTGTGGTCTGGGCTCGCTCCTATGATTGTTGAGTTAGTTGGTGTTGTTAGGTTTGGAGTGTGAGAACGGGGGAGCTGTTGCACACTTTGGAAGGACACACCTCAACTGTGCGGTGTATAGCCGTGCACGAGAACATTGCAGTGAGTGGGGCGAGGGATGCGACAGTGCATGTGTGGGATGTAGAGAGTGGGCGGGAGATAGGAGTCCTTTTGGGCCACATGGCCGCTGTCAGGTCTGTATGGCAGGGGCTAATTTTTTCGGGGAGAGGTTTTTGTCATCAAGCTACCAGTGTATAAATTAAACAGTTGGCTCTTATTGAGTACAAATTGAAGAGAAAGACAGAACGAATTGCAAAAATAATCAAATACGCTTGCTTACTTCGGTAAAACGTTTATCTTTATTACACTTACGAGAGCAACTAGACTTTTTTACAACAATGCAATGAAATTAAGCAGGTTGCACAAACTGACTGTTGTGAACATATTTGTTCTTCATACTTTACCTCGTTACGTCACGCATTTAGCCATAATAACAAGTACAAAAACTATGAAAACGTAAATTTTGAAATGTGGTGAGGGGATTTTCAAAGAGCCAAAATCTGGAACGTAAAGTTGCTTTCCTAGTGAACCTTAACAACTTCGAGACTCGTTCCCACTTGGTCTAGAGATGACGCGGTTGCCTTTGTAGATAAAGTACCGGCCTGACTATGTGTTTCTCAGTATTTATGTTAAAAGTTTGAAAATTTTCCGTGAAAAAATGAATTGTTGGATTTTCGTTTGTCTGCTTATGTTTTGTCGGCTTTGTTGACACATTGGGTAATTTTAATGTCTTGTCAGCAGTTTTCATTGCAGATGCAAGTGTTTTTAGTTTGCTTCTGTAAGCTATAAAATTAATAGCCGCGACATGTATTTTCCTTGGTTTTCCTTTGTTTTTTTTTCGCTTGAAAGCTTATTCAGCCTAAATGGTTTCAGCTTTTGTTTTATAGGCTTAGGTACCGTATTTTGTGTAACTTCGGAAAAAAAATAACTTTGATTTTTTCTTTAAAAAAACAGGTAGTTTGTGTTGCAAGATGTCAAAGTTACAAAACTTAATGCTCCAAATTTTTATGACATTTTTTATTGTCGGCTCAATGGGCGTATACCCACTTGTTTTCGGCTCAGTGGCCACTATGTAAATATTAAAAGCTTACTTAATACTGATGGTTGTGTTTTTCTGAAATGGTTTTCTTTTTTCCCAAAAAAATTCGATTTGTTCCGTCTCATTTTCTATTTACGCTTGCGATTAGTAAGCGTTATCAAACTGGAATATAGACTTTTTTCGGGTTAACAACATGTTTAACAGAATCACTTGTATCTTGGTTCATAATGAATTCAGATTTCTTTGCGTTCCCAGCCAGCTTAGTCTGAGGGTAACGAGTATGCCTTTCACAGGAAATTTCCTGATTTCAAATCTGACTAGGACCTGTTTTTTTTTCAAAAGGGAAATATTCTGCTTCAAATAAAATTGTTGGCCAATTATTTATCTGCTTTTGGCTTAGTTGTCACATCTTGGAATTATTGTTTTTTGATGCACGCATTTTTCTTTAATGCTGCTTTGAGTGTTTCATTTACTCCTACAATTTGCATTTTTTTTACCTTGACTTCGTATTTTCTTTGTTTTTTGTTCCGCTGAAAAAAATTCTCGGCTCAGTTTTTTTCGGCCTTTTTTTTCATCGGCTTAATGTCCTAGTTTTGGGTCGTTTTATGAGAAACATAATTTTAACACTTCCCTCCGCACTTTTCAAATTGGTTGTATATTTAACAATCGGTTTGTTGGAGTTCTTTTTATCGTTCTGGAAAATTTTTTCAATTTGCAAATGTTTTTCTTTTGCTCAGAGTTTCGAAAAAAATTTATCAAGTGAACTCCTCCGTGTGCCTGCATATTCCCCTAGAGTCTTTTTTTACTTGACCACTCTGTCTTTGGCCTTGTTGGGGATTATTTGACCACTTTATCTTTGGCTGTGTGGGGGATTATTTGACGCATTTTTCAATCGATTTTGTGGGTTCAATAGAGTTAATGGGCAATGTGAAGCTCCCCTGCAGAAGCGGCTACTCAAAAAAATTTTTATACAAACAGTTTTTTTGATTTTTTGACAGTTTTGCAAACTTTTTCAGTATTCTCAAAAACTTCCCTGCCATATCTGAGATTTTGGGTTTAATTTAAAAAATTGGTAATGGGAAGCTCATTTGCTTAAGCAACTACGCCACAATTTTTCTGACACCAAAAGTTACGGCCCTTGGATTTTTTGACCTTTTTTGTTTTTCTCAAACTGCCCTCCCAAACCTGACATTTTGGGCTCAATCGAAGTTACAGGTTGCATAATTTCCTTCTGCGTAAGCGTCTAGGTCTTATTTTCACCCAAAAGGCTGATTCTCGGAAATGCCAAAATTTTTTTAAATGTTGATCGTTTTTTTTTGGACTTTTCTCGCTAACTATTCAATTTCAAATTTATGTTTTTAATTGTCCATGCCCAATTTGATTTAAAAAAGTTTTGGCTCAAATAAGTTAAAGTTGTGAAACTTTGACAGTTTTTTGGAAACTTTTTGACTTTACGCGAACACTAGCGTGCAAATTCTTAGGTTGTGTTCAATCGAGAAACCCGGTTTTGAGAATCTTATCTGCTTAAGCGGCCACAGCCTGCTTTTTGCAGAAGCAAGATATGGATTTGGGAAAGTCTTTTGACCGTTTTTTTAGAACTTCTGACCGTTTTTTAGAAGTTTTTTTGAATTTTCTATAAATTTTCACAATTAAATCTGAGATGAAACGTTCATTGAAAAAACCAGTTGCGATAATTGCTTCCTCAGAAGCGGCGACTTCATAAGTTTTTGTAAGAGAATTGTTGTCTCCTTGGGAAATTTGAATATCTCGAAATTAGTAGTGAAAGAATTAAGGTTTTGTGCAAAGTCCAATTTTTGAAATCACATTTTCTGTTCCGCGTGAGTATACCAATATCAATCAATATCAGGCACGTATCTTCAGATTTAGCTGGGCCTCTAGTTGTTTGTTTATTGAGACATACGAAAAAGTTGGTTCACCTAGTTTTTTTCAGCATTTAAATTTTTTTCAAAAGTGAAAGCGCTTTTGTGAAATGCAGGCTTGTTTTAGCGAAGAAATTGGCCAGTAAAGACTGCTGTAGAATTTCAATTATTACAGCTGCTATACCTAGGTCTCTTGCAGCAATTTATTCTGAACTTATGCTTACAAAACAGCGCTGTTGTTTTTTGTAGAACTTTTCTGTTGTAATGGCGACGACGATGATCGACTTGTTCATCCATCTTTTTCGTGAATGAAATTTGTTACTTCGACCATCATGACGGTAAATTTTCGCCTGTTATCCTTTCTAGGTGTGTGGCGTTCGACGGATCACTCATTGTCTCGGGCGCATACGATTGCCATGTTAGAGTGTGGAAATTGAATTCTCTCACATGTCTACACACCTTGGAAGGCCACTCACAGCGGGTTTACTCTCTGCAGTTCGACGGAACCCATATCGTCAGTGGATCTCTGGATGCCTCCATCATAGTGTGGAATGCGAAGCTGGGCAAATTAGTCCATGTGCTCAGAGGTCACAGGTCGCTCACAAGCAGCATGATAGTGAACAGCAACGGCGGTGTACTCATCTCAGGCAACGCAGACTCCACAGTCAAAGTTTGGGACATGAAAAGGGGCGAGTGTGTTCACACACTACTGCAGAGTGGGGGTAGTGGTAGTAGTAATGGCTGTAGTGGTAATAGTGTCAGTGGTAATCACAAGCACTCAAGCGCAGTGACTGGACTGCAGTTCTGCAGGAGAGACAAGTATGTTGTGAGTGCGAGTGACGATGGCACTGTGAAGCTGTGGAATGTGCACACGGGTCACTTCGTCAGGGATCTCTTGAAGTTGGACTCGAGTGGGTTCGGAGGAGTGGTGTGGCGTATCAAGTGCAACGAACACATGCTAGTCTGTGCAGTCGGCAGTCGCAATCTGAGCGAACAGACAAAACTGGTTCTGTTCGATTTTAGATCAAAACGGCTTAAACAAAAACAACTGCTATTCAGCTCAAATTAAATGAATTATAGGCTAAAGAAACTCGTAGGTTGTCAATCATTATGCTTAAAGTTTTTCAAATTTTAAGTAGTTTTTCTTGTTTCGAAATCGGGTGCAGTAACTCAGTTCTAAGTAACGTTGACACAAAGTTGTTAGTGTTTACTACATTATTAAGCCGGTGATGAATTCCAAGAACTCAGGTCAGAATCGCATCAATTAAATCAATCAGATCAGTTATTTGTTATTGGGAGCGAAATTAAACGAATGCACCCAGTGGACTTTTTGTCTTTAAACATGTATTTGAGTTCTTTTTAAAAACACAAAAAGGGTTCTTTTTAAAAATACAGAAAATTTTTGACCCGAGTCTAAAAATTCACCCGACTATATTGCGTGATGTTAACAGTATACTTTATATCGTATAACACTCATTGATTGCACGCATTCTTTTCATGGTGGATTAGTTGCTTGAATAGTTTAGATTAGATCTGTTTCGATTATTGATTTTGATAACAATCGTAATTGTTTGCGTATTTTGGCCCTATTCCGTTTGAAAGCGTCGTTTTGAGTTCTTTTCAGAACAACTTGTTTCTCCAGATTGATTGACTAGAAAAGAAGGTATCTTCTCCTAGTATGAGTATATCCTCGTGTTAATTTCGCAGATTTTGTTATAAATTTAGATTTAGTTATTACAGTTTACAAATTTATCTATTGTACGTTTGCTATGTATAAAACATGTGGTGTACTCACTGACTGTTCTTCATACACATTTTCACCTCTTCTATCATATGTATATTTTCTGGCACGGCTGTTGTTTCTTCTGGATTTTGTTAACTATCAACCACCCCCCCCCTCTCTCCCATTGAAAAAGGGAAATTCGGTACAAGGTATAAAAAACGAGTGCTTGCTCAACTGTTGAAAGACTCCTCTATATAAGTGGATTTTTTCAGGAAAAAATTAGGGGTAAATAGTTCACATGATCCTTTGTTTTAAACAATATCAATTTGTTATTTGTTTTTTCAGTCGGCTCTTGTTTTTCCCTCTCTCCTTGCCCATGGTATTTTCTTGCTTATACACTTGTTTTTGATCCAAAGTACATGTGCGGTGATCCGATTGATCATCTGTGGTGGGATTATATGCAGCATGAATTGACAAGCGGACTAATTGCTGAATTAAAACAACCGAACAAGTATTGTTACAGTAAAAAAAAATTAAAAGTATTTCGACACAATCGAGTTGAAAACACATATTTGTGCACAACCCTAAACAGTGACTAGAACTGGAACCTAAAAATCATGTTTCTGTTTTACTGTTTGAAGGGAGCGGGTAAGAAATGGGGAGGGGAAAAAGAGAGCCCTTGTCTTTTCCTATTTCGCTGTCTACTTAACAATCTCGTCTCATCTGTGTCAGTTCATAGCTTTTTAAATTAGAACGGCTTTGTGTACACGAATATCTTTCGGATCAGAGATTGTTAAGTTGGAGCGCGACATACAACTTCTGGTTTTCATTCAAGTGTACATCAATGTATTCTCTATAAATTTAGTTTATAAATTGGTTCTTGTGACCTTGTTTTCAAAAAAGAAAATTCACTATTTGAAATGTTCTTTTTTCAATATCTGACGCCTTTAAGGCACATCGATTATTCATTGCGCTGTTAGTATTGAGTTTTTTTAGCGTTCCATGTTTCGACAACTCCCAGAGCCGTAAGAAACGATACGTTTGCTTTTTTTTTGCAAGAAAAGTGAAAATCGTATGGACTCGAATGAGATGGCATGGTGTTTTCAGTCAGATCTTGAAGCTAAAGGAAACAGTGCACGTATTACTACATGCCATTTTTTAAAGCTTCCTATTTAAAAAAAAATAAGCGTTTCATGGCAATTTTATTGGCTTAATGTTGTTCTTGGATTTTTTTTATTTTGCTTAAATGTTGTTCGAATCACTGTTGTAAGGGCTTTAATATGATATATCTTTTAACGCTCTCCGATAATTATTTGTAGTAGATGATTTTGCGTGGTAAACAAAAAAATAAAAACTAAAAGATACCCGAATACAAAGTTTCTCTCGATTTTTCAAAAAGTCAGAACAATTAAGTTCAGTAATTTATTACGCTTGCGATTAGCAAGCGTTATCAAACTTGAATCTAGACTTTTTTAGGGCTAACAATTTGTTTAACAGAATCACTTGTTTCTTGTTTCATAATGAATTCAAACTTCTATGCGTGTCCGGCACTTAGCCTTGAGTTGGAGAATACGCCTGGGACGGAAGAGGTCGTGGGTCGGAATCTGACTGACCAGGAACTTTTTTTTAAACTGGAAACATTCCTTTCCAAAAAAAAATGTTAGCCTAATAGATTGTCTGCATATGCTTTGTCGGCTTAATTGCCAGATCGTAGAATAATTTTTTATATGCAATTTGCAATGTATTGCTTCAAGTGTTAGAAATAATTTGTATATTTTCATTCTGCTTAAATGATTTCAGCTCATATTATATAAGCTTGGTAGGTTGTGTTCCGTTGCTGATTTAAATTGATGTCTTGCTCGGCATGTTTCCTTAGGTTTCTAATTTGATAAAAAAAAATGATGAAAAATATCTGATTGGGTTTTTAATTTTTTTTGAGACGTTTTGGAAAAATTTTTCTTTTTTTTTGCAAAAATTTTTAGTTTATTTCAACTTTTTATACCAATTTTCAAAAAGGAAATATAAATGGAACGCCCGCCTTTTCCTTTTTGAGCCTGCATACTTTATAAGTATCTTTACTGTACCCCTCTGTTTACAGCCTTCTTCCATCTGTTTGATTTGTCTTTTCGTTTTCTCAAAAACTACCCTCTCAAATCTGAAATTGTTCAATGGAAATAACAGACATTGGAAGTTCCACTGCATTAGCGACCACTCACAAACTGCCTACACAAAAAGATATCATCCTTGGAAAATCTTTGGGTTCAATCCAAAAGACGGGTTCAATCCAAAAAACGGATTGTGCGATGCTTTTTTGCAAATGTGGCTACGTCCAAATTTTTTTGTTACAAAAACCTATGGCCCGTGGAAAAGCCAAAATTTTGATTATTCTAAAGTTTTTAGATTTTTTGATTTTTTCTGAGAAGTACTCTTCCAAATCGGCGTCTAATTACCCTTCTAAGTCTCCGTTTCAAATCTGCGTTTTTGTTACTTCATTGAGCGAATCGCTTTCCGTAACAATTTGAGTTTATCTCAGCAAGCTATTAAAAGATTTCCTTGCTGGTCGATTTGCAAAAACTATGTTTAAAGCACTATACATGCGATTAATTTTCTAAATCTGTTTAGTGATTCAATAGAATGAATGAGTTCCTGAAAAATATTGGCTTTCTAAAATCGGTGAATCTTTTAAAATCTTTCAAGTTAATTCATGTAGTAAATCAATTGGCGAAAATAAAAATTAAATTTCTCATATCATTTTGACAATTCTTGTCAAACTAAAAAAAATTACGGACTGAAAAACTTTAACCCTGCGTCAATGGGATCCTGTTTTGATAAAAACTTAGCGTGCAGATTGCGATGAAAACATTGTCAGTTCTATATTTTTGTTGAGACAACCGTTACCAGTGTGTTCTATAAAGTCAAACACAGAGTATCTAAAAGAAAATGAAATGTGTTTCTTAGGGATCAGTTCTAGGTCCAGTTTTGTTTCTGCTTTTTATCAATCATCTCCGCGAGATAGCAAAAAATAACTACATTTTTTTTGGAGATGATAAATAAAATATGACGGAGTTTTGGAAAAAATAGACCTGGCTTTCATTAACATACAAACATAGATGGAAGCAAGTTACTTGAAATGAACTCTGACAAAACCAAATTAAATCAAGTTAAAAAAACGCATCAAGGTGAAACTATGCATCGAAAAATGTTTGGGGGAAATGTCGAAAACAGATAATGTTGATAGATTTTTACTTAGGCGTGCAGCTTGATTGCAATTTAAATTTCTCTGAGCACGTCCAAAATACGAAAAACAAGTGCATAATTTTTCACGAGATCGTACGAAAGCTACCGTTCAATTCATCAGTTTGGGTTACTCATGAACGGCTGCCACCTCAAAAACTAATAAAAATTTACTGCAAAGGTGAAAAAGCTCCTTAATGGGAATAATCACTCGGAAAAACTCAAAAAAGTGATATAGACGTGACAAAAACGTATGACTCATCTAATTTGTGAACTACAGAGTGTTTCGGATAGATGTAATAAAGTAGTGTACCATTCAGTTTCACGATGAGTCACCCTACAAAAAAAACTTTCCTGCCCAAGATAGCCATTTTGCTAGCTCTTTTATGGTGCAATTTTACTAGCTCTTTTATGGTGCAGTTTTTTCTGCAAGTTTTTGAACATACATACAAAAATGTAAAATACGAACATAGCTCATGAAAATTGAACACAATGTAATTGTGAAAAATTTCACAACATCAAAAAATTAAGAAAACGGCTACTAACTTACGCACAGATTAGAACATTACAAAGTACTAATGAAAAATTTTTAAAAAAAGTTAGTGAGTTCGTTCAATTTTTATTCAAAAAGATTGCCAAACTAGACTTAATTATTTAAAAACATAATACAATTGACTTATACTTGCACGAAAACGAGTTCTGCAAAAATGCTTCCTGGCTAAATCTTGTTTGGCTTTTTTGACGAGTTGCCATTTTTTTACAACATTTACTTGCAGGTATTTTAAGATTCAGTTTTCTTGCAGGTATTTTCAGTTTCTTTTAACCAAGATAAATAGTTCAACTGGATAAAAAACATTTTAAATTCGTACCTTACAAGTTGCTCGGATCTACTTAACATTCTCCCCCTTTTCAGAAAGAGGGAGATTGTTAAGTAGATTAAGTTAGTCAATTTTCGACCAAGCAGAGTGCAGCAAAATTATAATTCTCAATACATGGCTCTAGCGCTAATTTACTGTATCTATTCATAATGGTGAAGATTCTTTAGCAGATACCCTGGGGGATTGTTAAGTAGATCTAATTGCTTTTCATTGGTACCTGCAAACAGACTTGTAGCTTCATGGTGACCTTTTTGTATTGGCGGTACTAAAATGGTATGTTTACTAAAAATAAATTCTGTAATGTGCTCGATTCGTAAACGAATTTCTGATTTTTTATTATTGATGTTGGTGTTAGAGTTTATTCGGGACCACCCCTTTTTTGAGACCGAAAACGTAAACTAGCAACCGCAGATTGTTCAAACACTTTTCTCCCGCTAATCAGAGCGCAGTATTTTTTATAAAGAAAATGTTTAGGATTTACCTAAGGTGTAGAATTAGGGGATCTTCTCTTTGCGAAGATGTCCCTTTGGCAGTGAATTCAGCGGGGCGACCGAGATTCAGTACTTTCTACTATTCCGAAGGGGTTATTTTGGTGGCAACAGTTCTGTATTGTATTATGTTGCTTGCCCCTCTGTGTATTGCTCTTCGGCTGTCTTGTCTCGTCTACTCGATACAATCGCAAGGGTTCCCAATGATAAAATTTTTTAGATGATATGTCCAATTACAAAAGGCTCTGAGTGGCCAGGATATAATCTAATAATCAAGTCAAAGGGAAGGGTCTGCGATTTATCGGCCAAATTGCCTAATTGCAATTTACTTCCAATGTACTCCGCTAACACTAACTAGTCTCTCTCTCTCTCTCTCTCTAGAGAATCTCTGATGAGAACTAATTATTTACTGGTCTCTTAATCCGAGAACCAATTACCTACCAATTACCTGACTAACTAGCAAAAATTGTTCTGTCTAACCGAGAACCAACTATTCGATTCGCTCGCAATAATTCTTCTTTTCTCTGACGAGAACCAACTACTCTTAATAGTAGTTAACAACTGTTCTGACTCTTACAGGCTTTCTGGTAGCCTCCACTTCCTTATCTTTCTCTGCACTTAGTTTTAGTTAAGTCACGCCATTCCCAATCAGTCCAGACATCCGCTTAAATCACCCGTCCGCACATGTTTAAGACTATATCCCTCCCCTTGTCAACTCTGCCACGTGCCAACTTCGGTTTCTTTTATCAATCTTTTCACACGTATTAGATACCCGGCATGCGGTAGCTGTCACAATTTTACCAAGCAAACAAATGTCATACGATTCTAATCAACCAATTCCTGAACGCTGTGACTTCAGCCCTCGAATTCAACTAACCTCTAAACCATGCTATGTTTACTCAGTAATCCTCCCAAGGTCTTTATTTTAATTATCCCGTTAACGTTCCGACCTCCCAAGGGTAGGGGGAGGCCCTTTTCATGGGTAGCTTACCAATTTCAGGCATCTAAATTTTCTATCTGTACTCTATTCCAATCCCGACCTTCTAGCTATCAGGGGAACATAGTTCGTCTATTAGGGGTCAAATCAAACCAGAAAGTCACCTCCGGGAAGCCAAGTAAAGTCCTTGTCCATTCATACTATTTAGGAAACTTAACTCTCATGCTATGCCTCTATTACTACCAATTTCCTCTGGGACTACTTTTCTTTTACCCTGATTGATATTCTTTTAATAAATCACTCGCCAAGCTAAACTGAACCTAATATTTACCAATTCCACTTTAAATTAAATCCTCTACTCCAAGGTTGCAATGTAAAAGCTATATCTCTATCAGCTTCTGCTCTAGTTCCCAATATATAAGTTTCCCCCCCAATTTTTAGCAAGGTGACCGATGCTCATTTCCGGGGGTTAGGCTGGGGAATACGCCACTTTCCGGTGTTAATCTCGTGGTTTTCCATGCAATTGTTGGGTCAAAACGCCCAAAGGTCAACTTAAGGTCACCCAGGGGTCAACCGGGGTCAAACTTCCATATTTGGGTTCAGAATCCTATGGGGGTCTTAACTACCAAGTTTCATTCATATCCCATTAATACTTCACAAGTTATCCATTATCTCTTTTTCCGGGGAAAGTTTTTTAACACCGGAAGGAGTCGCCGGAGTGGTTTCAATCACTAGGGGCCTTTTTCCGGGGGTGAGTTGTAGTATCTGATGCCACCATAAAATCAATATGTCCTCGTTCATTATTTTGCGTAAATTGCCTACTTCCGGTTTAAGGGGTGGTTTTCCAAAGTGCAAATAACTTCCGGTTCAGCCGCTGGATTTGGTTCAAATTATAACACAAGATGTACTTTGTTGCTACCTATGCTATCCCAAAGTTTTAACTTCCTGCGTTCAGTGGGGTCCGAGAATCGACTCCCGGAAGTCGGGGTTGGGTCTATTTGCATAGGGCACAGCACCGGAAGTAGGGGTCCAAGGGGTCTGGGTTTCCAAACTTAAGCTCTTCTTTACTAGGCCTACAACATACTAGAATTTGAGCCCTACACCGCCGCTAGTTTCCGAGTTCTGATAGGGCTATTTACACTTCCGGGGACCTTTATCACTTGCCCCCCAAGGGTCTGAGGGGTCCCGTTTTTTGTATGCCCGGGTCAAATCATCCCTAGTATTGCTCCTCTGAATTTCATAACATTAGCTTTCTTAGTTCCGATTTGGGGGGGTTTCAGATCTTACTTCCTCTGCATTTTCTGCCATAGGAGGGACTATATCTTCGAAGATTGAATTATTTCGAACTTTTGCCCTTTGTTTGCTGTACTACTTAATTTAATGACGAATCAATTTTACGCTCAGGTTACTATAGCAAGTAATACAGTAGAATCACCAATACCAATTCGACATAAGGTTTTAGGATTTATGTTAAACAGAAGACTCGGGTCTTTTCGGTTAAATCCCCCCTAAATTGCGAAAAAGTGGAATGAAATTTTTTTTATATATAATTAGGACACTTGCTAGGAAATGCACTATAATATTAATGGACTGGTGAAAAGAAACTATTCTTACTTAATTGAGCCTCAAACTGACTTTTTCTCCAGTTTTCGCCAACTTTCTGAGCATAAATTTCATTAAAAGGATGCTAAATGCGTTTTTAATTGTCGTTAAGTTCGCATTTTTTGCCATTTTATAGCTTGATTTAACGCTCGCGATATCAGCCCTGCATTTTTAAGGAAAATTTGCCAGAAAATTTTTGCATTGAAGTATTTCGCTTCTATTTGCTGTTGTTTTTTAGGAAAGTGATCTTTCACTTGAGTATGTACAAACTATTCACATGCTCCTTAAACTAAAATCTGCTAGGTAGGACCATGTGAATAATTCTAATGGAGCTCCAAGCACGGTTAGGGCGTTAGGGGCAGTCGGAATACTCAGGGCGTGGCATGGTACCTGCAATCTTAGCAGTCTTGTTCTAGTAAACATGCTAGTCGATACAATATATTGCAAAAGTCGATATAAATTTATATACTTAATATCTCCGATAAACAAGTTTTTCCCATCCAAACAGCTTCAGCGGCCGTTATTATTTCTCTCCCTCCTCAAGCATACTTATTTGGAAATGTGCGTCATTTTGTTCTGAGCAGTTTTGAAATCAATTTGCAGGCCAGGATTTAGCGCTGATCCGCTTTTTTCCAGCTGTCTCAAGTTTTAAGCACAATCACATTAGAATTTAATCCTACAAAGCTAAGACCGCCGGTTAGAAGCATCAGGCAATCATTGGTGTTCATTTAAACCGCCACTATACCTACCTACACGCAGAGCGGAGAGAGCTTTAATTCAACAAAAACAATTACCACAGTTATCGACATTTTTCTGATCTGATGGTTGGATTTAAATTGACCAAGTCAAGATAAACGAAAAGTAAACTTGAGCAGCTCAATTGTTTGTATAAAGTCCTAAATCGGACTTTCTTTCTTTTTTGTAAATGCTCTCGAATTAAACAACCCATTACACTCTGGTTATGAAAACTGCTGTTACAATTATTGGCGTCTTAATTTCTTTGATATTGAAGCAAAACTCAGGTACAAGTATACGCCTATTTTTTATACGAAAGGTTCTCTTTAATTATCTTCCCCCCTTTGGTACCTAGTAACGAATTGCCACCCTATAATGAAATAAATAATTCCACGGCTAAGCATGCAAATTTTGTACCTAACAAACCTCCCCTTTTCTAAAAGGGGGAAATAGTTAAAGATATCCACAAGAAATGTAGAATTTTGGAGCCTCCTCAAAACTGCGGATCAAACAACCTTTCAAACTTTCCCCGTAGTGACCTAGCGTAGAATGCCATCCCCAAGCATGAAATGATTCTGAAAGATAATTTTTTATGAAATAATCATTTTGAAATTGTTCATACAATTTTGTATTCTGATAGGCTACAAAATCAGTTGAATCGACATTTTATTTATGTTCCGATAATTTAATCTTGTTAGTAAGTTGAAGTTTTTTTCTCCTCAAAGTTATTTTTATGAAAAACTCGTATTCTCTTCCTTATTAATCGATCGTTTGTGTGTGTTGGTTGTCTATGTGTGTGTGTGTTGGGGGGGGCGGTATTGTATGGTTGATCCACTTTGTCTGCCTTCTATGACCTGTCTGCTGACGCGGTTGTCTATAAACTGCCCGCACACCATGCGTAACTTTCAAAAACACAAGTTTAATTTTTTTGTTTAAGAATTGTTTTTACTTTTTACGGCACTGAAATTTTTGGACCCAGTGTGATGAGTGGGTGCCTTTATGTACAGCAAGTTCGAGCCATCTGGTCTCAAAAAAGTCTAAAACACTACCAGAACCGTTTTCCAAAATTTTCAGGCGCATAAAATTTTTATTTAGGGGCTCATCAACATTTTAAGCTCACATTTACCAAACTTCTCTTCAGAGACTTATCTATCTTTAGGGAGCTGTCAACAATCATACTTAAGCGACTCGAACTGATTGTTTACAAACAATGCCGGCCTCTGATCACGACTTATCTACACCCCAACACTCTCCAAACATGCACAAACACCATCAGACGCTGACGAGAAACAAATTAGTTAAAAGTAGACCAAGTCTCTTCACCCTTTTATTTACGGCATTAACTGGGCTAGCTGTAATCGTTGTTATTCCGCCTTTTCTACAGCAACAAAGCAGCGGTTAGATAATTTAGTTATGTTTTCAGTTTTGTAAAAAAAAATTTGAAGAGAAACACTAATTCTTATCGTACATTCGTACGACTGACGAATTTGTGTTTTGCTTCCGCGAGGGTGGCTATTCATTAATCATTGCACCCCAGGCCGAAGTCTCGATTTTGTGTTTCAACTAGTGCAACCAAAAACGCCTATGTTCTAACCGGTACGACCATAAATGCCTGTTTCGACCGGTGCGACCAAAATCTTCCATGTTTCGACCAGAATTTGGACCGAACCATATATGTTTTGAACAAGTTAGACCTCGCGAGTTTCAGTTGGACCATTTCGACTAAGGTTAAATATGTTTCGACCGAGTTCGACCAAATGGATTTATGTTTCGACCAAGTTCATCCACACAAAATAAAAAAATCAGTCGCATAAATGCCACTGTTCAATTGATGAAAGCATACTTAACTGGGTTAACCTCCATAGACCAAAAATGCTGGCCATTCAATTCCATACATTTAGTCTATGGAAAAACACTAGTCATACAGGTCTCATACAACTTTGCAAAATCAGTATAATTGTATTATAGATTATTTTGTTTTTGGTTTTGGCATAAACATCGGTGTAATTTTCAGTCAATTTATGGAACGCAAAACTAATTTTTTGAGTGGTTTTCTCATGATGGACGCACCGAAAGATGAAATTTTTTTAACTAATCGGAATTGTTAGACGTTCCTATTGGCTAAATGACTTTTGCCCAAAACCGAAGTCATTAATAACAGAAAACAAACTAAAGCAGCATAGCTAAGTTTTGCTGCACAATTCGTGAAACCATACAATTAAATTTCTCGTTTTTCTTTTCATTCATCGGATTTGAATATTTTCCATTAAGCGACTGACTTCCATTTTTGCAGTAAGTTCATGGGACAATGAATTTTAAAATAATATTTCAGATTTTATTGCTAGTTCTAGGAGCCTATTTTCATACATTTTTTCGACAAAAAAAACTCGCTCTGATGAGAATATATTTCAAGTAGAGAAAATTGAAACTATTTTTTTTTCAATTATGACTGATCAGAAAATGTCATGCTATGTGTTCAGCAATTGATTGCTGTTTTTATATTTTAAACTCGAGTTTTAGATTTTAGGAAGCGTTTTTTTGTTTTTGACATCTTTGAATTTTTTTTCTAAGAAAAAACTGGTGGCTGAATGAAAATTTTCAGAGCGATAACAAAAAATCTAAATCAAATAATGTTTTTAGACTGATTTCTTTTTTAAAATTTTTTTATTTGATAATCGTTGTATGTAATACTTCGTTTAAAAAAAAATTAGTTGCCATTCTGTATCACCCATGCGACTTGTAACGTAGTGCTTGCTATACACGTACCTTAGTCAATAGTTATTAGTTTCCATAATTGGAATAATTAGATGCCAAATAGAGTGAAATGTCAAAACCAAATAATATCAAGGATGAATGCCAAAGCGCTAAGCCGTATTCGACTGTAAATCTGTTCACTGTAAACAAATCATTATGATAGTAGAGCAGGGGGTTATTTTCAAGATGAAGGATAGAATGATGGAAAACTTTTAACCAGTCAAAATCGTTAGTCGTTCCTATTCGCCGAATATTTTTTGCACAAAATCGAATTCAAAATTAGCAGAAATTGTTTTACTATACATTTCGCGCAGATGTCGAATAAGTTATGGCTGTTGTTCAATGCTTTAAACCGTTATCGTGTAAGTAATAAAAAATTTTCCAACGCATCTGACAGTTTTTGAAATTTCAGTAATGTTCCGACTTTCGAAGAAAACGAATAATTTATGCTTCGGGTGGTTTTTTTCATTCAGTCAACTTTTGGTTATCGAAATGATAATTTTTAACAAAATTTTCTACTCCTTTAGAGATATCGATTCCTTCAAATCAAATGAAAAAGAAATATTTTGGGAGTTGAAAACAGCTAATTTGGCCATGCTCTGGACTAAATTTTCACAATTGATCTATGGCATGGTTCAAAATTTAAAGTTTTTCAGTTTTTTCTTTTCCCAAAAACTATTCGATATGGATTAAGGGGCAGTCGGAACCTTCAGGGCTTTGCCTTGTATACGAGCAGTCGTGTTCTACTTAATTTGCAATCCGACAGTTTCAGTTTCAGGCCTGCTTTTTTCCCAAATTGAAACTTTTGCAATTTTTTTGAGAATTTTGAAAAATCATTTCTGATTGGGTGAAAATAGCTGGAAAAAAAGTGCAACAATGGTCCCTCGATCTTGAGGGACGCCACCATAGGTTGAGTTCCTCATAGACGAATGACTGAATGGGCAAAAAAGAAAATCAGCCAATCAGATTTCCGGATTTTAAAACTTGGAAAGAAATCTCACAGAAAGTAAGCATTTCCAGGGAGTTAAAATTAATATTGGCCAAGCATAAAACGGCAAATTTTTCAAAGTGTCCTTGAACGAGGGCGAACTGGAACAAAGTTTATATTTCAAGGGTTTCGTTATCAACGGAGCAAAATTTGCTTAATTTAACTCCTTTTAGTTGAACGGCATTTGATTCATTTTAATAATGGGTTTTCGACGATTTTTGTTTTCGGTCATTCGCCCATGAGTCCTTTGGACATTCAGTCCTTCGCCCATGAGAAAAGCCCACGTCACGATAGAGCAGTATAAATACGTGGGCCATCAAAATAGGCTCGTACTTATTAAAGTACAAATCAGCCAATGAAGTAGGGGTAGCTATCACAACGCGGGAGTGCAGCCAGTATTTAGACAGCCGCGTATTCATACTCGTCAGTATTTAGACAAATACTGTATGAACCAATCAGAATCGAGAAAAGACATAACTAATCCAATTTAAATAATAATTATTTATTAATTTCTTCTTTGTCTCGATTCTGATTGGTTGAAACATCGTTTGTCTAAATACTGACCAGTCTGAATACGCGGTTGTCTAAATACTGATATGTAACCCACAACGCGCATCCCTGAGCTGAAGAGCGTCTAACCGCAACACTGCGTTCAGATAATTAAGTTTAAGTAAAAGTTCAAGTTTTGCGCATTTAAAACAAATTTTGGACGGTTTTCATAAAATTTCTTAGGCCCTAAGTTTAAAACATTTAGCGATAGTTAGAGCCATTGCTTTGATTTGAATTCGATTGTTTCGCTAATCAAAGTTGATGGAAATTATTTTTTTCTTTAACAATTGTTGATCTATTGCATTCTTAAAAATATTAGCGTCGGTCGGAAAAAAAAACGAGCAAAATTAGGGGTTTCTTAGCAAAAATGAAGTAGGGAGCAGAATGAGAAGAAACTGATACTTATAGTAGATTCGAGACCCAAAATGTCTGTGCTCGGTGCTTGAGGATGTTGCAATATTGTTCAGCCCGAAAAATTAGCACAAATATTGCATGCGGTTCTTAACATAGGGGATCAACAGTCGGAGATGAACAGCTGGTATGCTGATCATTTTCCCCGTGGAAAAACCGTCTCACCCTTACAGCGTTACTATTACTACTGAACGATGTGAATTTTAAATTGCTTGTTTTGAATTTTTTGTTGGTTTTAGGAATAAAAAGATCTGCCAGGTATGAGCTGCGATCATCTGAAATGATGTCACAAAATTCTTTGAGTGACTCAGACTTCCCTTCTTTGCCTCAGCCTCGCATATCAAAAGTGGACCGATCTACATCTGCGGAGAGATGCAACAAAATCATAAATTTATCTAAATTCAACCGGAGCCAATCGCAAGAAGACCAATTGTTCTTTCTAGAAACTTCTGGCAAGACCTTTCTCGACGCCAGACAGTCTTGTTCAGTGGAATCGGCTGCTCTGAAATCAGGTCTGGTCTGCAAAGTCCTTCTCAAATCGGCAATATTGAATTTGTCTAAAACCGAGAGTGTATGCGAGCTATTTTACAATTATGACAACGTGCAGTTCTACACAATAGATTTTGGGAAGTTATTAAAGGCAGGGTTGTTAAATTTCTATTCTGTTAGACGAAAATTGTAAGTTTTTTCAAACGTTTTAAATCGGAGTTTTAAATCAAATTATGGTAAGAAAGCATTAAAAAGTCAGCACAAAACCAAACATGACTGCTCGTATCAGGGCGAAGCCCTAAAGGTTCCGACTGCCTTTTAAGGTTTATGGAGCAGTAATAACATAGAAAAAATTAAACAAAATAAAATAAAATGATTTTTTTTTCTAAAACTTAGGATTTTTTGTGAAAATCATCCCCCCACACGCTATATAAAGTACAAAAGGATAGATTTCGCTCTTTTTAACAAATCACTTATGGCATATAAGCTTCTTTTAACCAATTTGAAACGATTTCTAAGACTGATTAAATCTCCGCTTACGCATTATTAGCGCGAAATATATCGCGCATTAATTGTCCCAAATTGGCCAAAATGGCAGTCTCTAAACCCCCATAACTTCGCAAAAAATGATCACAGGTGAAATATTTTTTCAAATTAAGCTCAGGACAACAATACCTTTTGAATGATATAAAAAAATTCCGTCAAAAATGGTTAGTTAAAAAGTCGAAATTTGTCTGAAGAAAAAAACCCCACCCCGAGCACAAATATTCCGTTATTTTCGTTATGAAAGTCGGAACAAAAAGCTAGCAGATTACTGTGCAAGTGGCACAGAATGCTCAAACCTTAAGAATGAAGCAAACTTAATTTTGTTTTCAAATTGGTGGTATGATAAGAGGAGCTGGCTTTTTTCCACTTCCCCCACATTCGATTTTCATTTTTGAATAACTAATTAAGCGTTGCCTTAATGCAACGAAAATTGGCATGATGAACGAACTATCCATTGTGAACAATTTTGTCATACTTTGCATTGTAACATCACGCATTTAGCAATAATAACACATTCAACAACTGTACAAATAGAAAATTTGAAATGCGGGTGGAGGAGTGGAAAAGAGCCGAGGATATGAATGAAAGCTTAAAATTTAGGTCTATTCGATAGCAATTCTGAATAGGTATATTGAACAACAATTTTTTCTCGAAAATAATAGGAAAAAAAACATAAAATTTTTTTATTTCCAGGAGTAAAACTTAATCTTCAATGCTTAACTTGGTTTATAAGAATTAAGCATTTATAAACAATTTTAAAAAACCTCGCTCGCTTTACTTGCTCAAAATTAGACTAAAACTCAAAATTTCAAATAAAAAAAATACAACACACCTGAAGACAATCTGAAACAATAAGTTTTAGTCCAGAAGACGCATGCATAAAGCCGGTTTTGTAAGACTGCTGAACGATTCCGTTATAGCAATGTCGTAGGCATTTATCTTACTGAGTATTTCTCTCACTGAAAAATAGATTAAGTAGAAAAAAAATCAAAAATTTAAACACCGAGGCGAAAGTGCACTTCGGTTTGCGGCGCGCAGCTTTGCGTCTGTTTTTAAATTTTTGATTATATTCTACGTAATCTAACGAAAAAACGACAAAAAGCCAATTATGAATTGGAATTTCAAAATAACGTATGGAGTTTAAACAACAACCCTGACTGGATGAAGGACACAGCAGCGGAGGGGTTGGAGTACCGGCTTGAGCGAGTGGTGTCTCACCAGATGGCCCATTACAGTGACGTGGCCCGGATGGCTCTGGCCTACAAGTACGGGGGCACGTACCTAGATCTGGACGTCATCGTGCTCAGAAGTCTGCGACAGCTGAGGAATTACATCGTGATTGAAAATGGAAAACCAAGCATGTATGTTTTCTTCAATTATAGTTCCACAATATTGATGACCTTGAGATCTTCAAAAAGTCAGAAATTATTTTTCGCTCATGAGATTTTGAGACTTACTAGTTCCGTAAAATGAGAAAAAAATGGTTTCAGACGTCAGAATTAATAGTTTAATGTCATCATTTCACTTCGTTCAGGTTGGTAGACAAAAAAACACCATTTGTTTGGCAATTTTTATAATATTATCAATACATAATCGTTTGCTCCAGCACTGACAAAAGTCGACTAAGATCGATTTTTTTTTATCAGAAAGGGTGATATATTACAATAGGTGGCAAACTCAAAATAAATAGATGAATCGTTTATTGTTGTACTGCGAACAGAGTTAATATTTTTTTCAAAAGCCAAATTGTTTGGCAATTTCTACCTGGCAGATGAATGTATTAAAAAAACTATTTTACTAGCACTTTGTTGTACAATTGATTTGAAAAAAGAAAACGATAAAATTTTGAATTATAGTTCTTGAATTTCATACAGATACTATAATCAAATAGTTCTCAAAATTAACACCTAAACTAACATCATATACTCTAAGAAAGTTTTCGGAGCAAAAGTAAATGCATTTAGATTAATTTTAAACCGGTTTAAATTGATCTCATTTCGAAACCGGGAAAAAATCCAATTGGATTGATTCAAAATCAATTTACAATTTACACTGATTTTATTTACACAACTTGTTTGGATCGATTTGCAATCAATTTAAATCTATGTTTTTTCTCCATTTAATTTTATATTCAAATGAATTTAAATCTAAATTAATCCATTTTTTTCAGAATTAATTGATATATCTAAATCGATGTAAATAGATTTTTTAGACATTTGAATTGATCCAAAATTTTCTAGATGACTCGCTCTGAATCAATTTAAAGTTCATTTAATGGTCTAAGTAGTTTTTAGTAGCAAGAACAGTGAGGCTAATGAGAAGTTGACTCAAAAAGCACTCAAAGTTATTGATAGGCTAGGAACTTTGAATACGGGTAGTAGCTTTGAATACCGGTGTTTTAGTTTTTTCTTTTTTGTTTGTTTTTGCGCAAAAACAGGTACCACAACTTTTCATCATAATTAATTGGTCGAGTGATATACCACTTTAAAGTCTCGCCAGTCTCAGTTCGAAGCTTTCCTCTTGTTCAAAAGTTGCCTCAAAAGTTGCCTCTTGTTGATAAAATTTGTGTTGATAAAATTTGGTTTGAACTTTTTGAATTTCAGACTAAAGCGATTGAAGCGATCGAGTAACGTTCGTTATTTAATAATTTGTCATTTAACCCAGAAAAATCACTAAAAAACTAACTTGGGTAGCTTCCTTTACCGTTATCTTGGCTCTAAAAATTTTCTAAAAAAATTTGTCCAAAAAAAAAAGAAAAATTTAGATTTTTTAAAAATTTTTCTCCATGTTTTTTTTGAAGGTAACTGTTATCGCTAATGCCGATTGATTTGTTTTTCTATGCGGGTATTTAGTTTTTTTGTCACACCACGCACTAGAAACTTCACTAAGTTGAAGAACTTACTAATATTACTACTATTACTAGTACTAATGCGTTTAATGTCCGTTTTCCCATCGTGGGTGGGGGGGGATGTGGTTGGACATCCTGATCCCGTTTTTTCCATGCATTCGATCAAGGCAGTCTGTGGATTTGACGCCTTAAGTTTTCAGGTCTCGTGTAACAATGGGTCCAGGAAGCCGGTCTTTTCCCTGGGACTGATGGTTGATCTGTTGATTTTGGCACATGGCCATCTTCTCTTAGAAACATTCAAATAATCTCATCTTAGACCACATAGACCTAAAAATAGCGCAAACATTTAGAGTTTTGTAGCTTTTTTGGCAAACGGCCTAGTGTTCCTTGAGCTCTCGAGACTTGCATCTTTTTAGTCGGAGAAAACAATTTACCACCACACTTTAAAAATTATACAGGCCGGTTTAGCCAGTAAGGTTGAAGAAATTTTTTTTGTACTTAAAACCGAGACTATTTTGCCAATCGTTTGCTGCTGAACAAAAACAATGTACGCTGCTGTTTACGCTCTTGTTGTCTCCTGTCACGAGATAGATCGCCCTAAATTAAGTTAAGAGCTGCAAAATCATGTCTCGAAGTGTCTCTTACCGAACTTGGCTTTGTCTCAGTAAAATTTAACTTCATTTTTTTCTGTTTTGAATTTTTGACTTACATCCATTATTTCAAGCGACTACAATAAAAGGGGGCTGGCAGTACAGTTATTTTTAGCAATCATTTTCGAGTAGTTCAAATTTTTGAGCAGGCGTGGCAGAGTGGCCAAGACGCACGGCTTTAAACACAAAGGTCGCCGGTTCGACTTCCGCCTTGGTCACGGATAGAGGGGTCCTGTCTCATCCGCTTCCTTAAGGTGGCATAAAATGGATGACATCTCTCCCCCACGGAAGAGAAACCCAAGTTTGAATGACGCGAACTGGGCTGGCAACTAATTAAAAAATCAATTAATAAAAGAAAAAGTAGTGTAAACTGTCTCGACAGCCTTATTTTAAGACAAAAACAATAAGCGTTACAAATGACAAATTTATTTCTTCAGTATTCTCCAATAAATTTCCTCGAGAACATTGGATCAAAAATTTTGTTTTGGCATTAATAACTAAAAAATTTGCGCAAAATCAGTCAAATAAAATAAATTGAATAAATAAATCAGCATCAAGCAACATTAAGTACATGGGCGCAAAGTCATTAAATAAAATTAACTACAAAAATTAATTCAAATTATTCAAGTTAATATCTTCCAACCCAGCATTTAAATCTGATTAAATTAGCTAAGCGCTGCATGTAAAATCCTTGATTCAGATTGGCTGAAAGTTTCCACTTAGAACCAAGTTAACAGACTACCTTCCCCTCCCCTCCCCAAATTGCTAGGGGGGATGTTAACTTGGTCCAACTAATCAATTAAATTTAACTTTTAACCAGATAAAAAAGCTGAAAAATATAAAAGCTGAAAAATATTTTTAGTATAACCCGGGTCGAGGTCCGCGACTTAAGAAAAGACCGGCGCGACTCAAATTTGGCAATTCCAGACCGGTGCGACTTTATATTGGCAATTCCAGACCGGCGCGACTTTATATTGGTAATTCCAGACCGGCGCGACCAAAACTTGGCAATTGAAGACCGGCGCGACAGAAAAAAAACCACCGCGACCGGTGCGACTCAAAACACCGTTTAAGCCCATTTCTTTTTCCGTTTAGACTAATGTCGCATTCGGACAGCGGGTGTAATATCCGCGATATGAGTCAGAGAGGTCAAAAGATCAACCCGGGCCAGTTCCATTTCAGTGCAGGACACCCCTTCCCCCAGCATGTGTTGGCATATGTGAACTCTACTTATGACTCGCAGCTGGACGACAGACAACAAGCCGGCCCAAGAGTCAGTTCCAAAGTGGCCAAACGAATGTATAGTTTGAAGGAGCTCCTCAACATCCATATCACATCTACTCAAGGCTAGTGAGTGTGAATCAACCAGCTAAATATAAACAGGCGGGACGTTTTGGACGTTTTGTCTTGATAGTGTTCCCGGGGCCGTACTGGGGGTAGGCGAAGGCCGGAGTTCTATGTAGTCGAAAATCGAAAATCAGGTCAAAGTTCTCGCAAAACTTATAGACCGACGTCCCTGAGTCTCAGGACACTAATAAAAGGGTTTGAAATTATCTCGGAAAAGCTCAACGCAAAAGCAATAATTTATTCGTGTATAAACCAACGGAAGTATTAAACAGCTACCATATAAGCCAGCCAAAAATACTTATTTGTTGTATATAAAAAAACTAACTTTTTATTTGTCGAATGAAACTGTTTCAGATATGCACGTGTACGTCAGGTTTCAACGAATTTAAGTTTAAATAAAGAGATAGTTTAATTTATACTTTAAGATTGATTAACTATTATGAAAATATAAGCCCATTTTCCTGAATAAACTTGAAATTTTTCCTTGATGTTTTACCACTGATGGTTCTTCTTTGCGTAATCATTAATAAACTATTTAAGTTTGTTTTTGCTCATCTATAGAAAAGTTGATCACAAAAATTTACTTTATTTTCCTCTATTGTATTCCATACAGTTACTGATCGTTTGAAAAACGAGTGTTGTGTATATTGTCTATTAAATTTTTCGACGTATAACAACTTTTTGTTGCCTGTATTAATTTGAATACGGTAGTTTTATTTATTTAAAATATGCAGGTAATAATTCCAGAAATAGCATATTCGGTTCAATCTAGGAACATGGAAATAGGCTGTACGTTATTTTTCAATTTTAAGTCGGACAAGGAATCGAACTTTGCACAACAGCAGCTGGTTTTTTGGCCCAGCACTGTTGTTTTATGAGTGATTTCATTAAATTGCAGATATGCTATTAAGAACTACGTCCAAATAATGCAAGTGACTAGTGATAAAAGCATTCATTTATATTAGGCAAACTTTGTTTGAAAAAGTTTTTTTGGTTGATTTGAGTGTTTTCATTCCTCAGGCCATTTTTTTATCATTTCAATTTTTTATTGGAACGGTAGAAGTTGGTCTAAATTACTCCTAGGTAGATAACATTGGTTTTTGCGATGATATTTTGGCCCAGTAAAACTGAATATATTATTCGTTTATGCTGATTATGATAGAATCAGTTCTTTAGTATTGAATTGAACAAAAACCCAGGAAAATAATTTAATCAATACTTTCAATTGTTTTCAGGACTTTCTTGCAAAATCTGCGTTAAGGCATTGCAAAATAGTAGTGTGTCAACTGCGTACTGTACTGCCTTGCATGATTTCGGTACTCGCTTGTTCAAATCATTAAGATCCAGATTGATTATCAGAGGGACACCTTGTTGTTGTGAAAACCAATCTGGTTCAGTGTTGTTGGGAAATAAAAGTTTTGTATTGGTTGTTGATGAAAAAGCTTATCACTTCTTTTGCATAGTCAGAAAAGTTCAATACAGTTTTATGGTCAATAGAATCAATGTTTTTCAAAGATCTAATGAAAAGGCAACAATTTCTTTTTTATTAATTTTTTGTACGATTCGTTGCAGATTAAAATTGCGTCAATTGGTGAGCAGGATTTTCTGAAACCATTTTGTGTGTTGCTTGGTAGGTTCTGCAAAAAAATTACTCATTTATTTGTTTGATTGAATTTTTTTTGATGAGGTACCTGTTATTGAACTGGGTTTTTAGTTCTATGTAAATTCAGAATAGTTTTAAAATAAATTGATGCAACTCTTGCTCTCCTAATTTTCTGCGGCAATATTTTCAGATATGCTTAAAAAGGAAGTTAAAATGCGCGCATATTTAATTGCAATCGCTTTTTAGAAACAAAGCCAAAATGTCAGTACTGCCTGGCTTTTTGCATTGAGTTGTAAATTTTTTTTGCACTCATCGCTTTTTAAAGATATGAACGACGTTTCGTTTTTGCTTTTCAGTATGTTTTTTTTTAGAGAAAGATGGTTGGATTGCTGTAAGTTTATACAAAAAAAGACTGAGTTTAAGTTTTGAACTTAAGTACCTTTGCCAGTTTATTTTTATTTGATATTATTTCTCCTAAAAAAAATTGAAACTAAATAGAAATTTACTAATTTGTTTTGAGTTTGTAGTATCAATGATGATATTCTTCAGTTTGTTCGAATTTTGAAAGTTCATCTTAGTTTCATCGTTACATATAAAAAATGATAGTTGCGGAGCAAATTAGGCGAAGTTACATTGATTCGGGGTCGTTTTGTTTGAAGACGCTTTCCTAGTTAACTTGATTTGATTTAGTTTTTGGACTAATGTTTTAAAAACATTTGTTTTGCGTTTAGGTTTATTTTGTTTTAGAAGGCTATTTTAGTTCAATTATAGAAATTGTGGCCTAATTGTCAGTTTGAATGTGTAGCCTGAACATCATTGGTTTACCTGACTGACCTATTGAACAGATCAGTTATAAAACAGTCAATTTGAGTTTCGAGTTGTAAGTACTGTTTTTTTGTTACATCAAGACTAAGGAATGTGGATGGTATTAAGGGACTACTTTTTGTCTTGAAGAAGGTAATTCAAATTCCAATTACCTAAAAATATCCATTTGTATGGCTGTGCACAGTCAATTGATTTACTAAGTTCATCAAGAAATTTGATTTTTTTGGTCGGGTTATATATTTTTTGAAAAAGATTTTCTAGCGTTTTTTAGACGTTGCTTAGATTTCTCCTCAAATTTTATCCTGTTTTTCGTTTGGATTGCTCAGAACTTGTCATAGTTTTGGGTTGAGTAAAAAAGAGCAAAATTCCTCCATCATTTGACTTTTTGTTAACTTCGACAGATCTATCACATCGAAAAGCAACATTGTTTCCAAGAGTCCACATAAATTAGTCGTTTGAGTCACTGAACCAAACTTTTAAGAAACTGAATTGTTTTCAAATCTGAAGGTTTCTGTGGTTGGGTGAATATCACTTGGTTGCATAATTGAAATTTTATTCGACTGAGAATAAGCAATGTAAAGTTTAGTTGAAGTTTGTTTTAATTATTAACAGAGACAATTATTTCAATACTTAGTTGAAATTACTGATGAGTTTTGCAATTGAGAGGTACGAGCACGAAACTAAAGGTGCACATGAGAGGTACTGATTAGTTTCTATTTAAAAAAGTGGCAACCCACGGAAAGTTTCGTTTGTTGATTTTTTGCTTAATGCATGAAAAGTTACTAAGTGTCCAGTTTCACTTATAAGGGTAACAGAGATGCTGGCAGTGACTGAAAACAGAATTAGTTTTAAAATGAATAATATTTATAAATAATTGAAAAATAATTATGTAACAGTTTCGAAAGTAATGCAAATTTCATTTATATGACGTAACTTTTCGACTGTTTTGTATACTCTGCGCGTTTTCGGTTGGTTTATACTTCGGCTGGTTTCTTTCCTCTCATTATTTTGTGATTGCAGGAAGTAGCAGCAGTTTTTCGATCTTACCCGACTTCACTTTCATGGCGGCCTCGTTCAGCCGAATCCGAGAGGAGCTGTGGCCTCGGAAGGCGAGGTCGGCGGAGGAGTGGAACAGATTGTTCCGATGCAGTTACGCAGTCCACTACCACTCAAACGTGTTCAACAAGTATCGAATGACAGGCGACCCCAGTCGAGACTTTTTCTCTTACCTGGCCCCAAATCACTGCCCAAGGTCATTCCTCACTTTAGAATGAATTGAACAAAATGATATTCCGAAGTTGTTTTTCAACCATTTACGCAGTGACAAGAAATCAGACAAAAAAACTTAATAAATTACTGAAAGGGAATTCTCTGTGCACCTGTTTTATCTTGCGCTTTTCAAAGGGAGGAGAGAGTGTAGGATTATTTTGTCGATTCTTTAGTTTGATTAAGAAAAAATTTTCACTGTAATAGAATTAGTTTTGTCTGATTTCTGATTTATTGATTGAAATTCAATCGTGTTCCATGAATTTTGCCTCTTTTTTTGTTATTTTCCTTATGGATTGCTTAAATGTTTATTAAATTTTATCTTCTTGGTTTTCCCTTTTTGTAAAAAAAAAATTATGTTCTGTAAGTCACCATGTTTATAGCGTGCTGCAAAACCGAAGTTGCAAAAATTATGCAAAATATGACTCCTAGACGAGAAATAAGCGATGTTTCTGAGTTTGGTTATTCTTTTTTGAGAATTTTTTGAATGGTTATGCGCTCTAATTTTTCAACATTTGCATGGCTTTCCAGATTGCTCAGAGTGCGAACACAATTTCGCAGTTCAAGAGTCAAAGATATTGTCACTGTTGGATCAGAACATTTGGATTCGAAATTATTTTAAATCCCAAAAAAATAAAAACAATGTTTTGACTTTAAAGGAATTTTTTCTGACTGAACTTGCGTCAAGAAAACTTTTAATCAAGAACAGAAACACAAGTTGAACATAAAGAAAACAAAATCTTTTCAAATTTCAAAAAGTAAGCGAAAATGGTTACTTGCTTCTGAATGGTTACTTTTCTCAAAAAAATCCCATTTTTTACAAAAAAAGCCGTAAAAATTGGCCGAAAAAAGAGAAGAAAGGACCCTAATCAGCAGCGAGTAAAATATGCAGTAACAATTTGATCTGAAAAAACTATGTAATTTAAAAATACTCAATTAGTGATTGGATTTTTAGAGATCCAGCCCATTGTATTACAAAGCAAAAGTTGGTAAAAGTGTTTTAATGCAATTTTACCAATAGATTCCAATAAAGCGAAGAAAGCTTTTTGGCGTAAAGCGAAGGAAGCTTTGTCGCGTACAGCGAAGGAATCTTTGTGGCGTACAGCGAAGGAAGTTTTGTCGCGTATAGCGAAGGAAACTTTGTAGCGTACAACGAAGGAAGCTTTGTCGCGTACAACGAAGGAAGCTTTGTCGCGTACAGTGAAGGAAGTTTAGTGGCGTACAGTGAAGGAAGTTTTGTGGCGTACAGTGCAGAAAGCTTTGTGGCGTACAGTGCAGAAAGCTTTGTGGCGTACAGCGAAGGAAGCTTTGTCGCGTACAGCTAAGGAAGCTTTGTCGCGTACAGCGAACGAATTTTTGTGGCGTACAGCGAAGGAAGTTTTGTGGCGTATAGCGAAAGAAATTTTGTGGACTATAGTGAAGGAATCTTCGTGGCGTAAATATTGAATGTGTAAAATAATATGAAAAAATTGTTCAGCGTTTTCATTTTTTGGTTCAATTTCAAGCGAAAAACGAAATCGAGTAACGATTCTTATAAGGAAAATGTAAATGTTTTTTTTTATAAAAATTACTTTAGGCTCACAAAATTTGATTTTATTATCAAGAAATCAACTTGTGGTTATTTCTTTCAGCGCTTAATTGACAACAAAGAATTTCCAAAAAAATAATATTTTTTGTTAAAAATTTATTTTTCGAAAACAAATTTTGTCCTACATGCGCAATTCATTAACTACACGTCACTCACTACTCACTGTTATAGCACTCGAATCACATCAATTTTCAAAACTTTGTGCAGAAAACTGAAATACAGAGGCAAAGCTGAATTTCGCACCACTTGCGATACAAAAACGAATGACTGTGATAGTCCAAAAAACACAAAATTTGCAAAAAAAGGGACCCGACCGGATTCGAACTACAAGTCGTAGCCACCTGAAGAACGTGTGGTACCTCAACAAAATATGTGCCAGTTGGTTCATTGAATTTGAATTTATAATAAGAGAAGTATATGAGTGCGTCCAGGAAGTATCCTGTGAACAAAGTGTTTTACGGTGAAAAGTCTAGTACCAGATTATCGCAAGGGTAAAAACATTTAAAAGATTTTTCCAATTTTTAGTTCATTTGTTTTTTTGAAGGCAAATTTGTCGTTCATGCCTCAATCACTAAATTTCTAGGTGTTCGTATAGGTCTTTCATCACACGGCGCACTAAAAACGACACAAACTAAATGATTTTTTTTTGCTATTTTCTTATGAACATGGTCGGAACATTGTGTTCTACTAGCACAGCAACCGGCTAATTTGGTTTTTAAATGATTGATGTTGGTTTTTTGCTTGGCAAACATCATGCATAGTTTCAGTATCGCAGGTGATTCGAATCTCCACTTCACCTCTGAGTGGACATTATGAAAATTAAGAAAAGCGCGTGGAGTCGAACCTGACAACCTTATGCACCAACTGTTACAGAGAAGCGAAGCTGTGCTTCGCAAACGCTAGCAGGAAAACGACAAAAAAATCAGCTCTGTAAGGTGATGTAATCAATCCTATGAGCAGGAGATTAATAATCTCCTGTCCTCGGATCTGTACCACCAGTCCTTGACAATTAGCTAACACTAGTCAAAAATATAGAAGCTACATATGCTTATTAATTTCCAATGAGATGCAGCAAAGGTATCACCAATTACCAACAAATAATTTAACATGCTATAATAATTTGAAAAATAGCAGGCTGAGCATCCATACTAATTTTACTTCTAAACAATTGGAAAGCATTAAGCCAAATTTTTTGTAAATTATGCATTTCGAACAAATTGCGAGATATATTGAGTTGGAAAATTTACTGTACTGTAGTTTTTATTATTGTACTGTTGTTTCAAACAAGTAGCTTTTTTCGGTTCATTTGAATAAGAAAAGCATCAATTGCGTTAACTTATTACTAATCGAAAGTCAAAGCATATGCCATCAAAAAGCCGTAATGGTTCCCCAAAAGTGGCGTCATTTACAATTGCCGTTTAGGTTGAAGCACCACTTGCGATACATCACAAACATAAAAAAAAACTCGAAAAATAATTTTTACTGTTGAAAAAAAAACGCGGTGAAACTAAACTTTTGTAAGTCTACATTGAAAAATACAAGCCCAGCTAAAGCTGTTTGATATTGAATGAATTTGCTATATTGATGCGGCACGAAAAAAATGATCTCAAGAATTGGACTTTGCCCGAAAAATTGTTTCTCTACTAAAATAAGTAAGAATTAAAAAAAAATTGAGATCATCAATTTTCTCAATGAAATAACATTTCTCCTACAAAAAAAAGAATCGCCACTTCTGCGGCAACGATTATCGCATCCAATTCTTTCACATGAACTTTTCATCTGAGATTTGATTGTAAATTAAAATTTTTTTTAAGTTTCTAAAAACCATCAAAACTTAAAAAAAACGGTCAAAAGGATTTCCAAGATCCATGACTTTTTGGCTGTGGCCTCTTAAGCAGAGAAGACTCCCAAAACGGGGTTTCTCGATTGAACAAAAACTGAGATTTGGCACGGTAATTTTCGCGTTAAGTCAAAATTTCGATTTGTTAGAAGGTCATAATTTTTCTCAACAAACTGGGCATAGCCAGTTATAAAGATAGGCTTCAACAACCTGTTGATTCGATTAAATCAATAATATCAGATTTGGCAAAATAGCGAGATAAGTCTAAAAAACTGTCAACTAATCAAAAATTTATCATTGCCGAGAATCATAGCTTTTTGTGTGAAAAATGGGGCGTAGCCGCTTATGCAGAAGGGACTCACAACCTGTAATTTCAATTTAACACAAAAAACTCAGATTTGAGAGGAGTATTTTTCGAGAAAACGAAAAAACAAAACAAAAATATGGGTCAAATATTCCCACAGATTTTTTGAAGGCTGTAGTTAGAGGGGTCAACTAAAAAGAAACTCTTTTGGAACATTCAAGCACACAGGGGAGTAGGCGTTCTTTGAAGAGATACCCTTTTTTTTAAAATCAGTAAATTTTCTGCTAAATCTTTGGGAATTTTCCTAATGAAAAAATAACTTCAACAAACCGATTGGTAAACATACAACTATCATGAAAAGTGCGGAGGTAAGTGTTCACGTTGTTTGCCTTGGAACAACCCCACCAAATTAGGTCATTAAGCTGATAAAAATAGACCGAAACAATTTGTACCAAGGAATTTTTTCAAGCGAAACAAAACAAAGAAAATACGAAGTCGAGACAAGTAAAATTACAAATTGTAGGAGTAAATCAAACAATAAATGCAACCTTAAAAAATGCTCGCAAAAAATTCTGTCAAGATACGACAACAGATAAGCAGACAAATAATTTTATGTGAAACAGAATATTTCCTGTTAGAAAAAAAAACAGGTCTTGGGCAGATTCGAACCCAGGACTTTTGCCATACCAGGAGTAATCGTCACCTCCAGGCTAAATTGGCCGGTAATGCTTAGAAGTTTGAATTCATCATCATCCGAGATACAAGTGATTCTGTTAAACCCGAAAAAAGTCTATATTCCAGTTTGATAACGCCTGCTAATCGCAAAAAAAGAATAGTCATTTTTATTACACTACGCTCGCGAGTGTAATAACCACACGCGATACGACTGTGTCATCAATCATGATCTAATGCAATAATTGGTTTCAATTTAAACCAAATAATCATATGCCCCGGAGCATAAATCACATTTCTACCTATATGCGCAAAATCAACATTCGCTGCTCGTTACATTGAGCTCAAGCGCATTTGCCGTCAAGACACCAGAAAAAAACGATTCGCCGTAGAGTAGAGCTACAATTACTCTCCAATTGAGTGCTAACACTGGCCTAATTTCATAATCTCCAAATTACAAAGAATTCTAAATTTCAATTATTACGATTAATTCAAATATCGATACATATGTACATTTCTTACAGATGTGATGCTTTTTACAAACTATTTAGCATTTAAGAGTATCAGTTCGAGATGAATGGGAAGTTTAGTAACTTGCTTTCATTTCAAATTTTGGAAATTCTGAGTGACGCTTTTTACAAACTCTTTACCATTGAAGAGCGAATTTGGGGTGAAAATATGCAGATTGAGTTTTTTCTTCTTAATTTTTGGCACTCCTCGTGTTGGTTCTGGTGAGATTGGATGCTCTGGAGGGTCCTTTGTTGAACCGGATGTCTCTCACTTTCTTCACGTCCTGTCCCAACTGTCCCCACCGCTTACGCAGCCTCTCTATACTCCCTGTCTGGTCTACAATTCTGCAAACAAATACTTTCGAATTACACTGATTTTAGCGAATGCCAAAAAGTTCACAATACTATTGTTTGACTTGTATAAATTCCCCGCCGAAGTATTTTACGACTACTACTACTACAACTACATCCCTCAGTTTTCAAATCATACAGCGTTAAACGAAAACAAACAACACTTTTTTCAAAACCCCGTGATCGGAAAAACCATTTTTCAGAATCTTCAGCTGTTGCGACTTTTACAATGAAAAACAGCTATTCTCTTAAACTTTCAGGACATTCTCAGCTCACTAACCGATTGGAGAAGTTGGATCTGCAAAGTTGCTCGAGTCCTATTCGGTCCACGTGACTACAACTGTTTCCATGATGTCTATTCAGCCCCATATTCTGCTCCTCTTTGCCAGTCGAGAGAATTGACACAGAATTCAACTGCTGTGTGCTAATGTGGTCAGTTGTTCTCCGTTTTTCCTCCCAGTAACAGTCGAGAGATGGGAGGGAGCGCAGTGGGAATGAGAAGATGTCTCGGTGAGTCTCGTAATAGACAGATTCCTCTTCCTCCTCTCCCTCGTCCTCTCTATCTTGCTCCGCATTTTCATCTGTTTGCAAAAATCATAACAAATTAGCCAACAGACAGATGGAACAGAGAGTGTTAGCAACAGATAGCACTAGCAATGGTAATGGTACCCAGACAACATGAAAGCATTTTATTATTTGTAATTTTCAAATTAATAAAACTGAAACTTGTGGTGTTTCCAAAAAAACTTGAGAAATGAAAACCTTTTCCACAAAAACCTCCTATTTTTGAGAAACGAATATTTAGCAATTCATTCAAACTATTTCCCCACAGCTACCGAAATAAGAAGCTTAAGAATTAGGAATGCTTTAGGATCTGTGTTGGGATGAAGGTTCTCTTTTAGATCAAGATTCATTAGCACTACCACTACAATTAGCCGAGGATCTCGAATGTTTCATTTCGAACTCAAATAGATATTTGCCGTCTTTTCGTCACTTCACCAGTTAATGCGATACTAAATTGCACGTGCGAATGTTCAACGAATTTAATTATCACTACAAGTATGTAAGAGGTGGTTGCCTGTGGTTTCGTCTTTGCTTGTTAGTTTGGAGCTAGATTTCGACTTGGTTGACTCAGCAGCAGTCGAGTTCTCCCTGCTAGTCGGCTTCACAGCCCCACCCTGTTCTCCCCCTCCCTCTTTATCTCCAGCTGTTGCCGCCCCTCCATCCTCCCCCTCGCCATCACCGTCTGCCTCGTCCGAGTGCTTCTTCATCGGAATAGAACAGGAGCCTAAAAACAAGGGAACACCAAGTCCACTCGAGTGCATTCCAATCAAACTTTTAATATAATTTGAAATATAGAAAAAAAAGCCAAGCAAAGCCAACAAACAGCTTGAAAAAGGTTCAAACATTTACTCAACGCGTCCTTAAAAAAGCCCAATTAGAGAAAACTGTACCAGGTATTTTTATTCCACTGGGAAAACTAACATACGAAAGAAAGATGAATTTATAAAAATTTTTTGCTATGATCCGTAATCGAACCCCCGTCCGATTAGGGCGTCTCCAGATACAATTGAATTGAACTTAAAATGAAATCAGAAGTCAACCCAAAGATCAAATTTGGCGTGATCAAATTGAAAGACTTTTCTCCAAAAAACGAAAGAAAGCATGACGACCTACATTAGTGTTTTCAATACGTTCATTAACTGTTAATAAATAGAGCTTCAATGAACTCAAGAAAACCTGAAAACGTCTGATAATTTTGATACACATAAGTGAAAAAACGACTGGAATTCACACGACTGGCGACACAGTACAAACATACATGACAAAATAAGGCGACGCCATCATTTCTAAATTTTTTTCAAAATACCGAAAAATTACTATCTTTTTATGCGTTTATCTAAATTGATTTCAATTTGAGAAAACATGTCCACAATAATTGGCTAGAGACGTCGGCTGAGCCGAAAAAATTAAGCCATATATTGTTTCAAAATCGAAGTTTTTACGTCCCCCCGGAGCGCATATACTCAAAAAAATTACATAAGCGACGCATATAGTCACAAGTTGAAACCATCTAGGAGGAACAAATGAATTCAGCTAAAAAAACAGCTAAAAGGCTGTTGGAAACGTGAAAGAAAAGGGAAACAGAGAAAAAATTATTGGTTTAAAAATTTTTGAATTTACGAAGAAAAAATGTACAAGAAAACTCGTGAAACGTCAAATATTATTTATGATAAGCACTTTTTTCCGCGTGGTTATCCCAATAAGAAAAAACTGATCAAAAAATAATTTTTTATTCCAGTGGAAATTCACACAATTTAAGTTCATTTTTGAAACAAAAAGTAATTCACATTTTCCGTGAACTTTCATCTTTTGCTGTTCGCGTTTGCTTTTTAACAAAGGAAATGAAGTGAACTAAAAAAAACTACAAGTAAAACCTCGAAAACTCAAATTTGAGCTTGAACAAATCTTAAGATTTTCTTGAAAAAAAAAAGAAACTATCAAAACAGACACATATTTGGCCAAAAGACAAATGGAAGTCTCTATAAACAATAGAAAACTGACAAAAACATCCGACTTTTTGAACTTTAAGAAACTTTCATGATTGACGCTTTTTTGTAACACCAACTCTATTTGAGAAAAGTTGATAAAAAGGTTTTTCAATCCGCTGGGAACTCAAATCCATTTTTGGATTCAAATACATTTATGACAAAAAAAAACCCTACGGATGAGTCTTACACTTTGTAAACACCAGCGACAAGCTGACGAAGTAGCTTCAGAAAGGTTAAAAAGAGATAAAAAGACAAGTGAAGATCATCATGTAGCTCTTTCAATTTCAAATATAGCCAATAGACACATGGAAAAGAGTCAATGAACGAACTGAACTGAAAAAAACATCTGGAAAAAATCTGAACTCTCAAATTTCAATGAATTATTTAAAAATTTATGATATGCACTTTTTTGATAAAATTAACTCAATTTGGGAAAACTGGATCATTTAAGTATAATTTTTATTTCGCTGGGAAATCTGAAAATTGAATTCCACTTTGGAAACAAGAAGTCGATCACGTTTTTCGTTACCTTTACTCTTTTGCTGTTCGATAGTGGAGCTTGTCTTCCTTTTAACAATGGAAACGTACTTAACTTTAAAAAATCACAAGTCGAAGCGCAAAAAATGAACTTGAGCCTGAACAAATTTTTAGACTTTTCCTGGAAAACCAAAAAAAAAACGAAAAAAAATCATCGCGGCCTATACAAGAGTCTTAACTACGTTCATCGACTCTTAAAAATTCTGGAAATCATTAGTTCTTGGGAATACTGATGTCTGTATTAGTTTGGTTTATAGGCTCAGAGCAAATAAAGGCATATAAACCAATTCAACAGAGACACCAGCAGTTCTTAATTTGTTCGACCTAAACAATTTCCGACAAAAAAATGTACATTACTTTTGCTCTCTATTTTTTGTTCCAGTACTCACCATGTACAAACATGAAATGGGCTGTGTTTAGTGTGGCCATATAAGGCGTTTCTAGTGAAGAATCTTCTGCTATTTCCTCCCCCTGCCCCTCCCCCTCCCCCTGACCATCTGCAACAAGTGTGGGCTGTGAGAGGGGTGAGAGTAGTTGGTGCGATGGGGGCAGCTGTAGGGAGCACACTGACTGACACTTGAGCATGTCGAACAGGGTGATCGTGCCACTCTGCTTGTACACTACGGACACTAACTGAGGCAGTTCTGCCGACACGAGAGAGAAGGAAGCCACTCCTGTAGTCAGCTGCTCAAATGAATCCCTACACGGTCAAAACAAAATTGCGCATAATTTGCTTGTAATAATTCGGAATATAACAAATTGAAGCCATCCAAGCTAACTTTGCATGCAATAAACTGGAAAGCATTAAGCCGAACTATGTATAAATAATGCATTTCAGAAAAATTGCTAGATATATTCTGAAAATTTCAGAAACCGAGTCTTTATTATTGTACTGTTGTTCGAAACAAATGAAGTTTTTCGGTTCATTTGATAAATTAAAAAAGCATCAACTGTTTTACTAATCGAATGTCAAAACAATAAAAAAAACTCGAGATTCATAAGGTCCTAAATGTACACAAAAGCTTTGATTAGTATCTTGGAACTAAACAACCTGCACATCCTACAGGAATAATTGTCTGTAAACATCAACAGGAACATCTGCGTTAAAATTATAATCAAAGAATAAAACTAGAAAAAAAATAAATGCTTAAGTTTCAAACCATTTGCACAAAAACAAGTGGAAAAAATCACGTTATAAAAGAACACATTACTTCAAACTTATCAAATATGATCTTGATACGCAACGTTGAGAGAGTTGGATCACCAAAAAGATAACAATGAAAAAAAGCCCGTGAAGGAAATAAACAAACAGGAAAAACTATTTTCCCCAATTTTCAGCCAGAAAAAACCACACTCCTGAATCTCGTCCGAAACTCGCCAAATATCTTGGTAGAAAATCTGGCAATGTATATTTTTTCGAAAAACTTTTGGCATGTTAAAAAATTCGCTATGCCATCAACTTGAACCGATTTCAACTAAAATTGCTCTATCCATAAACAAACCAAAAAATTCAAACTTAATTAATTCCACGCTTTTTTAGATTAAAAAAATCATTTAGGCACCTTGTATCCAAATAAGCTGGAAATTTATTGCTAAATTTTCTTTTAAATTCCAAAAAAAAATTATCAGAGAAACTAAGACACCATGAAATATACTAATCCTCTTCAAAGTTGCGAAAAAATTACTCAGAAAATCTACCAAAATACAGATATAAAACACCTGGCCAGTAAATACTGATAAAAATTGGGACGAAATCATTAACCTGGAGACGCAAAAAAATGTGAACTCATTGTGAACTGAATCATAATTTACCATTTCTAATTTTGACCATTCTGTGAAGAAAGTTTTTTACGAGAAAAAAGTCTAGTACCCAATCGCGATACCCTTGCTGGTCACAAGCGTAATCAAATATTCGTCCGCATGACAATTGCTGATGAAACTCTTCTCCTATTTCCTCTATTTTGTGTTTGATAGGCATTTGACTCAGAATCAATTTTCCAAACAGGCATTTGCAAAAAAAATCAATAAACGCAGTAAACACAAAAAACTGACACTTTTGCGAAAAAATAATAACATTAATAAGAGTCTGAACTACTAATTCTCTTGAAAGTTGCGAAAAAATTACTCAGAAAATCTACCAAAATACAGATATAAAACACCTGGCCAGTAAATACTGATAAAAATTGGGACGAAATCATTAACCTGGAGACGCAAAAAAATGTGAACTCATTGTGAACTGAATCATAATTTACCATTTCTAATTTTGACCATTCTGTGAAGAAAGTTTTTTACGAGAAAAAAGTCTAGTACCCAATCGCGATACCCTTGCTGGTCACAAGCGTAATCAAATATTCTGATTATTTACACTTTTGCTGGTCGATAGTTGAGTTTGCCTTCTTTTACGGAGGGATATGACTTGAAATAAAAAATCAAAAACCAAGCCTCGAAAAAGTAAAATTTGAGCCTGGAAAAACGAAAAAATAATAACATTAATAAGAGTCTGAACTACTAATCCTCTTGAAAGTTGCGAAAAAATTACTCAGAAAATCTACCAAAATACAGATATAAAACACCTGGCCAGTAAATACTGATAAAAATTGGGACGAAATCATTAACCTGGAGACGCAAAAAAATGTGAACTCATTGTGAACTGAATCATAATTTACCATTTCTAATTTTGACCATTCTGTGAAGAAAGTTTTTTACGAGAAAAAAGTCTAGTACCCAATCGCGATACCCTTGCTGGTCACAAGCGTAATCAAATATTCTGATTATTTACACTTTTGCTGGTCGATAGTTGAGTTTGCCTTCTTTTACGGAAGAATATGAATTGAAATAAAAAATCAAAAACCAAGCCTCGAAAAAGTAAAATTTGAGCCTGGAAAAACGAAAAAATAATAACATTAATAAGAGTCTGAACTACTAATCCTCTTGAAAGTTGCGAAAAAATTACTCAGAAAATCTACCAAAATACAGATATAAAACACCTGGCCAGTAAATACTGATAAAAATTGGGACGAAATCATTAGCCTGGAGACGCAAAAAAATGTGAACTCATTGTGAACTGAATCATAATTTACCATTTCTAATTTTGACCATTCTGTGAAGAAAGTTTTTTACGAGAAAAAAGTCTAGTACCCAATCGCGATACCCTTGCTGGTCACAAGCGTAATCAAATATTCGTCCGCATGACAATTGCTGATGAAACTCTTCTCCTATTTCCTCTATTTTGTGTTTGATAGGCATTTGACTCAGAATCAATTTTCCAAACAGGCATTTGCAAAAAAAAATCAATGAACGCAGTAAACACAAAAAACTGACTTGTTTTTTGAGAAAACTTCAATTCAAAAAAACTGCAAAAAAAATAAAATAAAGCTTTTTGAACTTCAAAAACAATATATTCGACTTTCAAAACAGTAGCCAATCAAGTTTGTCGTGACCTTTACACTTTTGCTGTTCGATAGTGGAGTTTGCCTTCCTTTGCAAACACGAACGAGAACTACAAAAAAGCAGCTTTTAAAGTAAAATAAGAGATACAAATAAGCCTCGCATTAGTAAAACTTTGCTGCGGATGTGCTTCGAACCTGCTACCTCGAGAATTGGTCACGAACACTTAACAACCGGCTAATACTAGCCACAAATAAAGCAGCTACATATGCTAACAAATTTCCAATGCTCTGCAGCAAAAGTAGCACCAAACACAAATAGACACAATTTTGCAAGTAATAGTTTGGAATATAACAAACTGAACGCGTCCACGCTAATTTCGCATGTAATAAATCGGAAAGCATCAAGCCACATTGTATAAATTACGCATTTCAAAAACTTGCACGATACAATGAGTTAGAAAATTTCTGAAATATAATGTTCATTATTGTTATGTTGTTTGAAACAGATAACTTTTTCGACTCATTCGATGAATTTGAAAACTATCAACTGTGTTAACTTATTACTACTCGGATGCCAAAGCACGTGCTATCAAAAAGCCGTAATGATGCCCCAAAAGTGGCACCATTATCTGCGACGTAGTCGTAAGTCGTAGTATAACACTAACGCTCACTTCGTGCAAGTCGTAGTATAACACTAACGCTCACTTCGTGTAAGTCGTAGTATAACACTAACGCTCACAAGTTCGCTAGTGTAAACAAAGAAAATGAACTGAACTTAAAAAGAAATCAAAGTCAAATAGCAAAAAATCAAATTTGAGCTTGAACGAATTTTTCCCGAAAAGAAAAATTATCACGGCCTATATAAGAGTCTTAAAATATAAGAGTCTTCACTACACTCTTCGACTCTTAATAAAAATTCGTTGAATTCCTTACACACACTTCACTTCATGAAAACTCAAACAAAGCCAACAGACAGTTGGAAAAGAGTCAATAAACTCTGAAAAACAAATGATTGACTGCCGTTAAAAAATTTTCAACTTTCGAGGAAAAAATAATGACTAAAAACTTTTTGAATTTCCTCAAACTAATCCTTAAAATTGACACTTTTTGATATAATCCAAAATTGAGAAAACTAGACGAATAAAGAGCTGCATTTTTATAGCGCTGGCAATTCTAAAAATTCCACTTTGTGAACTAGAAGTATTTTTTTTTTCACGACATTTAAATATCCGTTACTGTAGATAGTAGTTGTTATTTGTCCGTTGCTGAAGATAGTAGTTTGCCTTCCCTCAAGAAAAAGAATTTGAATTGAGTTTTCAAAATTCATAGACAAATAGGCGCAATAAAAAAAACGACCTATGTAAATGTCTTCACTACACTCATTGACACCTAAAAAGTTTAGTTTGTCGTTCCGAATGATCTCATGAAAGATTTCAAGCTTTCGGTAGAAAAATCTCCCTTTGAACTTCTCGAAATAAGTTAACTGCATCTTCCGCGCATCTTTAATACGATGATTATAACCAAATACGATGATAAATAAAAAAGTGCTAAAAACTCTCTCTAAGGCGCGAACCGGAGAAAGACTACTTTCGCAAAACTTAAACCCACCGAGCACATAGGAAAGAGACTTCAGACATGAACAGACTTCGAAAAGTACAGAGGGACAGAGTTCCGTCTTCGGACAAAGCCAAAATTCCATTTGTCTTGGCGGGTGGTGCCTTCTGCCGTCCTCTACTCTTCCCCCCATCCCCCAAACTGGCCAGCAGACGACTTGAGTTAAGACTCTCCATTTCAGACTCCAGTTCTGAGAGGAGAGGCGCTTCACTTGATTCGGGTTTGGCAGCCGAGATAGCAGAAGCGAAGAGACTTGGCTGGACAAACTGCATGAGTTTCACTGACGTATCTGAGAAGTTCGCTTTCATCACTTGCTGAGCAGAGCCTACATATGAAAATCACAATATTAAAAAAACTGACTTTAAATATGCCCAGCAGATTTCGAGAACTGAAACCGCTTCAACACAAACCAAAACATTATTTTGACTTGCGTTTCAAAACTATACTGAAAAGGAGAACTGCTATTAGTTAGATTATAATCTATAACTTTTCAAAAAATCTCTTTACAACTTTTGATAAAACTAACCCAATTCAAAAAACAGGCGAAATGGCACTTCGGTAAAACCGAAGAGCATCTTGAATGAACACGTATGAAAGCCATTATCCTCCACGAGCTATGCAAGTTACCAAAAGATCAAATAGCTAGCTTTAATTCAATTTGAAATCCTAGCTGAGACCGATCAATTTGACTACTGGTAAATAGCGCGCACTGATTAAGCCACATTAGCCAATTTTTCGAATTTCAAACCCCGAAACTAAGCACAAGTAATCACAGGTGAAATACTTCGTTAATTTCGGGTTCATAACATCAAAACTATTCAGATGGCTTTTAGAATCTAGCCAAAAGACAATTGGAAAAAAGAGACAGAGGCGAAAATTTAATATTTTCCAAGTCAATAAACGCAAGTAAACAGAAGAAAAAACTGACTTACTTTTTTTTTGAAAAAAATCGCATTTTTCAAGTTTCAGAGACAAAAATAGACTTTTTTGAACTTCTACAACAATTTATGATTGACAATTGAGGATTGAAACTAGAATAAACGCGACATGAAAACTGGATTAATAGGTAATTTTCATTTCGCTGCGAAATCTGATTATTTACACTTTTGCTGGTCGATAGTTGAGTTTGCGTTCTTTTACGGAAGGATATGACTTTAAATAAAAAATCAAAAACCAAGCCTCGAAAAAGTAAAATTTGAGCCTGGAAAAACGAAAAAATAATAACATTAATAAGAGTCTGAACTACGTTCATAGACTTTTGAAAAGTACCAAAGCCTTTGTTAAAATCCTCAGCATTGATTGTAACTCCGCGCTGATTTATATGTTTATAATATAATAAAACTGAATACAAAAATTGAACACCAAATCGACTTAGGTTGAAAAAAGTCAAATCGTAATCTAACAAAAGTTTGATTGAGTAAAATTTGATCAGTAGGTAATTTGTTTAATCCGTTGAAAATCGAAATTAGATACACTCCTAAAATTTTATGATAAAAATTTGAGGGTGAGAAAGTTTGGGGATTGATTTCTTGAAACATAGCCAACAAACCACAGGAAAAAAGTGAACGAACCTAAACAGAAAAAATTGACTTGTTTTTTGAAAACACTTCGGCATTTCAAAGAAAAATATGGATTCGATCCCAATTTGATAAAACTGGAGCAATAAGTTAAATATTTATTTTGCCGGAAAACCTGAAAACTAAATTCGACTTTCGAAACTAGAAGTCGATCCCGTTCACTGTTCGATATTGGAGTTTGCCTTCCTTTTAGAAGAGGAAATGAACTGAACTTGAAAAAATCAAAAATGAAACAATGAAAAACTAAATTTGGGCCTGAACAAAGACTTTTCCTGAAGAAAAAACAAAAAAAAACTATCGCGCCAAAATTACAAAATGACCTAGTGGACAAAATTCAGCGCAAATCCAAGTTTTACTTTTTAAACTTGCTTTTTTGATGTCCATTTCGGAAATCATTAACTTCAAAAAAATTCATCAAAGTTTTTCGAAATTCAGCAGAGAAAACTATCAGAGTCAGAAACATTTGACTATATTAAAATTTTTACTCTGATTAACCCAATTGTTTCGATGAAAATGTTTCATGTCGAATGAACTTTCTTTTACTCCGCTTATTAGAAAAAGAATTCACTTCGATGCAAAAATTATCGCAGATTACGAAATCTGGTATTTTTAGAACAGGATCATTTTGGTGCACTAATGGACAAAATTAAACGCAAATTCAGGTTTTTACTCTAAAAAGCAAAACTTCAAGGACCAATTTGAACAGTAATTTTTTTTCAATTTTAACAAAATTTTTATATCGACCGACAGCAACTGATCTGAACTACTCTCTCGGGAAATCTCAATTTTTCATTTGAAGCACTTAACAGTTTTTTCCAGGTCTGAAAGGAACTAGTTTTGAACATCTGCACAAAGTTTTTCAAAATGCGTTGCGTAACTGTAAAAAAAACCAGCTGAGTTTAGCAAACTTGTCCCACTGATTATTGCAATTTTCTCGCTGAGATTGTTTCACATCGCATTAACAACTTTTTAACTCTACTTAAGAATTCATTACGATGCAAAAACTAGCGCAGACAGTGAAAACTGGAATTTTAATAACCGGAAAAATGGTAAGTGCTTCAAATTAAAAAATGAGACTTCTAATTTAGTATTGTCCAAAATGGTCCTTAAAGTTAGGCATTTTAAAAGCAAACACAAATTAGAGTGTTAGTCTTTGAAACCACATACTGATAATTTCATACAGCCTCGCGCTGATCATTAGTTCTTGATCTATGAAGAAAACTTGCTGAAACTCGAAGAAAAATTCAATAAAAATTCATCTAAGATTTTCTGAATTTTTTGAAATCTAAGTTTTGTGAAAACTTATGAAAGATAGCAAAAATAGTAATATCTCAAAAACTAAAAACTTTTGCTTCTTCATATTTCGATTCCAATTTTACATCATCTAGAAGAACCTTGACAGCAGACTAGCATAGGTTTGCTAATTTCAAATTGTTGAAGTTTTTTTAAATCTAAATTTTCCAAAAAATCATAGAAAAAACTCATATCTCGGAAGCTAAAATGATTGGAGCAGATATGTTTGGAGGCAAAATTTACCACCCCCTGAGAGTAGCCGGACAGCACTCAACTACAGGGCTGAGGAATTCAATTTCTGGAAATTTTTTTAAATAAAAAATTTACGAAACTTTTCAGAAAAATCACAAAAATGTTCGTATCTCCTAAACTAAAAAAAATTGGGCATTCATATTTGGATAGGGTAATATATCTCGTAAACTAAAAAAAATTGGGTTTTCTACACGAGCTGTTCCAGTTATCAAATTTCGAAATATGTCAAGTTAATTCATGAAGCCCATTCAAGTGATGAACCCAATTCTATTGAAACCATTCAAGCTTTTCTAAGCAAGCTATTTGAGCTATGAAGCTTTTAAATAATTCAAGTTATTTCAGACTTATGGGTTCACGAAAAGTTAAAGTTTTTCTAAGCCAGCTATAAAGCTTTGAAACATTTCAAGTTATTTCATGGATCGATTCGGTTGGCAAAAAGCTAAACAATTCTTGCAAGCTACTCAAGCAAGTACACTTTGAAAAATTTCAAGTTGATTCACGGAGCAAATCAGTTGGTAAAAATTTATTCAGGTTATGAAAATTTCAAGCAGTTTCATACTGAATCGGTGTGCAAAAAAAAAACTAATTTTTTAAGGCAAGATAATCCAATATGAAACTTCATAACTTTTTACACTTGCAATACAAAGCAAGAAAGCAGCTAAGTCGGCAAAAATCGAATCTGGATCTATCAAAATGAATAGCCAGTACAAGAAATAAAGAAATAAAAACATGCCAGTACAAAAAATGTGAACAATTCGCATCGGAAGAAAACTTACCAAGCTGTAACAAAGCCGAAAAAACCTTAGCAGCAACTCTCTAAACCAAAAAAATCAATGAGACTTATAAAAAGTTAACCAGTCCTCCTCACCCTAAAAACACAAAAGCACACATTAAACTTGCTTGGCTCGCCGAACGAAACAATTTGAGGCCAGCCGATTTCATAAAGGCCGAAATCTATTAAGCAGGAAAAATAAAATCAACAAAAAAGCCAAAAAAAATCAAATTAAACTACAAAAAAATTATTAAATAACTCTCCCATTATAGCCAGAAACCTATTAAATAATTTTTTTAAAAAAAGCCGAAATAGTTTCACGAAAAAGTTAAACTGTAATTTCTCTTAAAATTTTAGCAATTTGTGCAATCCAGTGAGCACAAAAATTATAATTCGATTGAAACGACTCAAAATTAGGTCACTAAGACGATAAAACATAAGCTTAAATCATTTGAGCAGAATTAGGTCAATTAAGTCAAAAAATTACAAAGAGACGAAGTAAATTAAAAAAAAACATATGAGCAGCTACAATAAAAATTGCGTACAGCAAAGAAAAATATCTGATGTGGCAACTAAGCCCACAAAACATAAGCAGACGAATAATAAGCCGAGTTTTTTAACGAAATATTTCCCGTTTGAAAAAAAAAACAGGTCCTTGCAAAATCGAACCCATGATCTTTGCAGTCCCAGGAGTATTCGTTACCTCTAGGCCTTGGGAGCCAGAAACGCAAAAAGAATTGATTTCATTGTGAACTAAACCTAAATTTACCAATCAAATTTTGACCATTCTGTGAACAAAGTTATGTACGGGAAAAAAAGTCTTGTACCCGATTGCAATACCCTTGCTCATCTTCATGGCAATGAAGGGAATCATATAACGAAAAAATTAATTTTTGAATTGTAGCCATTAAACCGATGAAACTTCGAACACTTCAAGCTGTTTCATAGACCAAATCGGTTGTCAAAAAGTTTTTCTTTGCAAGCTATTCAAGCAATGAAACTTTGAAATATTTCAAGTTATATCAAGGAGGTTCAGAAGGAGAAAACTTAACCTTTTTCTAAGCAAGCTATTCCAGCTACGAAACATTAAAACATTGTGCTGATCAGTTTGCTAAAAGTTTTTCTAGGCATGGAGGTTGCTCTAGCCTTGAAATTGAATCGAGCTCACCTTGTTCGACGACTTTAATATGATGGAAAGTTCTACTAAACGCCTCTCAAACATTGAGATTGATGGATGCTCCGAATGATTCTTAAACTTTCTGCTCTAAACGTTTTTAAACGTTGTTCTCGATAAAAAAAAAGTTGAACCGTTGCCTCTATAGCGCATTAAGACTTTGAATTAATATATTAGAAATATATGTGTTTAAGTATGTGTGTTTGTGTGTGTGTATGAGTATGCGTTTGAGGGGGAGGGGGGTCGCGGGAGCATTGCACGTATCGAGGCAAAACTCACCATATTCTTTGTCGTAGACCACAATAGTTCCGTCAGAGAAACCGAATGCCAGCAGCACATTGTCACTGGACATAGTAGAACAGTGCAATGGGCCTCCAAAGTTCATGATTGAATCCGGCTTGTGCTCCATGTCTGAAACATTATGATCAGCTCATAAATCTGAACCGAACTCCAACCTATTAATACCACCCTATACGCAAAGCACAATGTTCTCTTCACAATTGGGTAGGGAGAAGCTCTAACAAATGCTTTTCAAACTTGCCAACTTTCATTTTTTTGAACATTAAGTGGTACAGATTGTTTTAATCTTGTAGAGAACGTCTTTAAAACAACATGAGCTCAAATATTTGATTGTCGGAAGAAGTGAAAATCAACTAAAATTGAGAGTAAATTTTTTATAACACAAGCTTTGCTTGTGTAAACATAAAATAATTTTTTTTCTGAATATCATCCACATCTGAAAAGGCCACGTGTGATTTTGTGACCAGGTAGTCACTCGGATTGGTTGTTGCAAACTATCCGATCCAGAAACTCTTTCTCAATGAAATGTGATTTGGTACAGCTTGATCCACATTTCGTTTCAAGGAACTTCTGCTGTTTTTATTACCTCATTTAAATCATTTGACTGAACAGCCGACTTTTCAACTTTATACTGGCTACTGCCAAATTTGAAGCAATTTGGGTCTATAAAGATGGCTTTAATGTGTCTGAAGTTGCCCACAGAATTGACACTTTTAGAATTATGGTAACAAAAAGATTTAGTGATGAAAAAATTCTTGTAAGACTTAGAATCAAGCAGAATTCATCGCCTCAAATGGTAAGCAAAATAAGTAATTAGCTCAGAATAATCAGGAACTGAGTTGAAACAAAAGAAACGAAAAAGTGATTCTATGATTTAGGGAATTATCTACTTTCAATTTAACACAAAAGTGAACAATTACCAGGTAAACTGGTTATAACAAATCCACCAAACGCGTTCACTGAAACAACACACTATCTTTTTCCAAACATTTTTTAAAATCCTTATTTTAAAATATTCAACTTCATCATATAAAACAAGACTATCAGAAATGGCTGAAAAGTTGTGCTTTGCGCACATAGGCGAACATGATCAATAAGCTATTTTCACCTCCACATTTGAATTTCAACTGGCAAGCATGTCTTCGTTTATCAATCGGCTCGCCGAAAGCAATGAATATTTGAAATGATTCAAACGTGATTCACTTGAAAAAATCTACTCATTTTCTGAAAAAAAACTTATGCTTATAATTCATTAGGGTTATTGCCTGAAATAGTAAGCAGGAAAAATTGTTCTGCTACCTCTCATTAGATTAAAAAGGCTGGTCAAAAAAGCCACGCTATAAATATATTAAGTCTCATAAAACAAAAGGAGCACTGTTTTTGTTGTGGGACGAAAATAACGAAAAGCGTGTATTTATTCATAGTATTTACAGTGCTGATTCAAAAAATAGCCAACAGACAGTTGGAAAAGAGTCAATTAACGCAAAAAAAACAGGAAAAAAAAACTTTTTTTTTGAAATATCAATTTTCGAACTTCAAAAAAACAATAGATTGCCTTCAAGCTATCTAAAATTCTAGAAAAAAATAAGACTCATAAACTTTTGATAAAACTACCCAATTTGAGAAAACTAGATCAATAGTTGAAGCTTTTATTTTGTAGGGAAAACCGATTATTAATTTCCAATTTCGAAACTAGAAGTCAATCACGTTTTTTGTCAACTTTACGATGTTCGGTTTGCCATCCTTTTTAATAAGGGAAATGAACTGAACTTCAATCAAAATCCAAACCGCGGAAAAAGTATTTTTAAATTTGAACGAATTTTAAGACTTTCCTAAAAAAACCGAAAAAAAAATCATCGCGACGTCTATAAGAGTCTGAATTACGTTCATCGACTCTTAAATATCCGGACAAAACGCGAATAAAACTTGACAATCAATTCAAGTTTGTCTCAAATTTGAATGACTACTTAGGCGAAAAAAATATGACAAAACTTTCTTAGAATTTGAATAGAATTAATATGGTACAATATATTTCGCAAAATTCGGGCCCGAATTTTTACCTCAAATCTGATCAATTCACTTTTAAGTCAATCAAAAAGAACGCCAGAACTACTGGAACAAATAATTGCATTCAAATTAAGCTTCTTATGTTGCCGAACAAAATTTAAAAAGAGATAAGATTATAATTTTTTAAATTTTGCATAAATTCGGTAGCGATTCAACATCGTGATTTTAAAATGTTTAAAAGCGAAAATTGGCTATTTATGAAGTAAAAATGACCTTTTTGGGCTATTAAACAAAAGTCTTTAATTCATACAAATTTCTGAAGATTTAACCTTATTAAACTGTTTTGGGCAACATAAGAGACTCAATTTGATATAAATGTCCCAATTATTTATTAGTTCTAGCGTAAATTCTGATTGAAAACAAAAAGCTAAAAAAGATTAGTCTAAGGGTAAAATCTTAAACCCCAATTTCATGAACAAATTACAGCATATTTAATTTGCTGAAATGTTAGCAAGTTTTACCATCATTTTTTCTGTCTCAATTCAACAAAACATAAGAAAACCTTGTTTTAATTTCCAAGTTCCTGTTGTCCGGGTAATTTATAATAGCACTGTATTTGTGCACTGAATTAGAAATTGACACCCAAGAAAAATATACAGCAGTAATAATGCGATTAGGGGCAAGATAGCAGCCCAAAAATTAGAAAGAAATTGATCCAGAAAGTGCCCGCTTAAATCATTTTCTGGAGGAGATAATTCAGTCCAAATGAAAGCATATCTTAGAGGATTGCTCGTATATTTTGTTAGCTCAGGGGGGACTGTTCTCATTGTCCAATGTTTTGTAAAATGTTAATTTAGATTTAAGTGCACACTTGAAAAAATTTACCCCATTTCCGAACAAAAGAACTTTGCAAAAGAACAAGAAAGAGCAACAAAAGAACAAAATGCTCATAATTCATCAGGGTTATTGACTGAAATACCACGCGAAAAAAAGTTCTGCTATTTCTCATTAGACATCGATAAAAATGGCCGGTCAAAAGACTCGCTGTTAATATTAAAAGTCTCGTCAAGATGTCTGGCCGAATAGCAGTTTATCACGAAGCGTTTCAGTTCAGAACAGATCAGGAGAAGCGTGTATTTAACGTACAGTGCTGACTTAAATTATCCCGACAAAACTAATTTAAGTTGAAAATAAAATCACGTTTTTCTCAAATCGGGTAGAGTTAAGACCAAAAAAGAGGAAGACAAACTTGCTTAGAATGTTAGAATTTATAAAGTGCAAATGTTTTTTTCGGTATTCGGGCTTAAAATTTTACCCCCAAATCTGATCAACTTTATAATTCGAGCCCAAATTTTTACCCCAAATCTGATTAATTCTTAGTGAATCAAAAATAACGCTTAACTCATGACAAACACTAGCCACAAATAAAGCAGAGAACAGACGCTATGCAAGTTCCAATGCTGCAGGGAAACTTCCAGATAAGTGAACACCTTCAATGATTACTTTGATTTACGAGTAAGGTTAGAAAAAAGAAGATGGTTCGTACTAATCAACTAACGCTCGCAAGCTCGCTTAAGTGAATACAACTAGTTGAAAAACTAAAAGCACCCACATTAACTTTGCATGTAAAAATTGGAAAGCATTAAGCCAAATTATCTGTAAGTTATGCATTTCGACCAAATTGCGGGACCTTGAGTTGGAAATTTTCTGAAATAGAATTTTTATTATTCCACTGTTGTTTGAAACAAATAGCTTTTTTGGTTCATTTGATGAATTAAACATTCATCAAGTGTGTCAGCATATTACTGGTCGTATGTTAAAATACATTCTAGCAGAAAACCGTAAATGTGCCACCAAAAATGGCACCAATATTTGCGACTTATTTTGAAAAATCAATAGTCGTAATATTCCACTACACTCGTTAACCTTAAAACTCGCTAGTGAAAAAATGTTTTTCAAATAAAATTTTGACTATTTTATGAAGTAAAAATAACACTAGGGCTATTAAATTTTTCAAAAAAATTACGGGCGGATCTAAATTTTTTGAAGGGATGAGGGTACGGATTTTTGAAAAAAATTAAAATTATGTCGACTTTTTTTAGGTCGATCAAATTGATTTTCCGCGCTCTCCCAAATCACTAAAACTACCCTTTTTGGTCAAATTTTGGCACCACAGGCGAATTTATGACTCCCCATGCAAAAAAAGTATATATTGAAGCCAAAGGCATCTTTAGAAAATCCCCAGAGACGCCTCTGGCTCCGATAGAAAATCCCCAAAAGCGCCGTGACCGGTTGGGTAGTCACAGCGTCGAATCCCTGAACATGGGGAAGAGGCGATGTCCGAGCCCCGCCACCCTCCCTAAATCCGCTACTGGTAGTAACTAAAATTTTTTTCCTGTTTTCATTGCGTTCTGTTTGTTGGTATTGAATAGTTTAAGTAGCTTTTTGCTCAAACAAATGCATAAAACTTCTCTGACCTGTCTATATGTTTTTATTATATGCACTTGAGTATATAAATATTAAAATTTTGATTTGTTTATCTTTTAATTTTTTGTGTTTCTAGTGTTTCATGCTTGGAGAAGCTTCCTACAAGATCATACAGTAAGGTCAGAAAGTTCGTTCCCCCCATTCCTAAATGCTACTAACATTATACACATTTGAGACACAATAATTCTGCTGAAAATCTCAAGTTTTATTTTCATCTTTTTTCGTCTTAAGTCAACAAAACTTGAAAAACTTGCTTTAAATACCATAATCGTTTCCTCCGGGTAATTTAAATCAACGCTGTATTTATGCATTGACTTAGAAATAGACACCCGAAAAATTAAAGGCTGCAATAATTCGATTAGAGGCAAGATAATGGACAAAAAATTAAAGTTCCCTCCTATATCAATTTCTGGAGGAGATAATTTACTTTAACTGAAAGCAAATCTTAGGGGGTTGCTCTGCTCGTATCTTTGGTTAGCTCAGGGGGAGGGGGTCTTTTCACTTTGTTCAACTGTTGTCGTTTTGTAATTTATACCTTTTGCCGGTTGTCTGAGGATAGAGTAGATGGACATGTAGTACAGTTCAGACCACCATACACCCACTGAACACACACGGCCTAAAGGACATGAGATAAACCAATAGAAAAATCAGTTGGGAAAGATCGGCCTCAGACTATAACACAAAAGTCCGATTGCATAGAAAAAATGCAACGCTGAAAATTGAACCCAAGCTTACAAATAACAACAGGTTGAAATTCACATCTTTGTAATAAAGAGGTAAAAATCAAATTTTTTAATCGAAAGTTTACTCAACCATTTTAGGTTTATCAGTTTTTGAAAATAAATTTGATATATCCAATTTTATTCAATTCTGGTGGACTAACAGCCTCAAAATAAATTTCACATCGAACGACCTTCTTGAGCATGCTGATTTTCATCATTAAGGTGTTCCTCTTGTTTAGTAGTAACCTCCGGCCAAAATCTTATGAGTGTGCGTTTTTATGAAAGGCAAATTTTATCCTGATGATTTTCAAAATTGAGACATGGATAGTGGAGATTCTATAGTATGCCACAAAGAGGGGGCTCTACGGTTGGTCCAAATTTAGGTATTCATTATCAGTCCTAACCGTTTTCTTTTTCGTTATCGATTCCGATTGGCGTCAACCGTCCAGGCGTGAAGAATAGCACTTCTGGCTCCCGCTCGCTGAACAAAGCTGCTCCAGGTACCTCACCAACTGTCGCTGTACCTATAAAAGAGAATTTGCACTTTTCATCCAGAAGTTGTTTTAATCTGATGATTTGTGTTCTTCCACCGTTTCTCCCTCATTATCAATTTCTGGATCCGACATTAAATCAGAAAACCCAGTTGCAAGAGAAACTCAGCGCACCCGCGATCACAAATTACACTTCGCAAGTTTCAAACAAATGTGATTTTTTCAACTACAAAATTGCCAAACTATCAAATTGGTCTTTGAAAACTGAAACAATTCCAATTTCGAAAAAAAAACAGATTCGCACGAAACCAGAATCGAATCCATCATTGATTTGTCCATACCAACAGCCCTATGGAGCCTTAATTATACATGATAACAATCTATACTATGTCATCAAAGGTTGATCCCTTCTTCCGGTTAAAAGCTAAACCAAAGGAACTGAAATTTGGCGTAGAGGTAAATTTCTATGATGGCGTTGTTGTAGAGGTATGATGTCCTCATGGTTGTCAAAAAACCATCAATTTGCTCATCTAGAAAACTGTCATGAAAAAGTGTAACATAGCCAATAGACTGTTAGAAAAATAACAATAAGCTTTTAAATTTCAACTTTCAAATTCAGAAGATATTACTTGAAGTTGTTTGAAAATCTAAAAATCATGATTGCTATAATTTTTTTATAACAAACCCAATTAGAGAAGGTATGCCAAAAGAATGATTTTTACATACATCGCGTTAGGGCCCTTCAAATTCGAGAAATTATGAATCTTTTATTCATATAAATAGACCAATTAGAGTGAACTGGGAGGCCAATAGTTAAAGTTTTTATTCGGCTGGGAAATCTGAATAAAATTTGTATTCCGCTGGAAATTCTGAAAATTAAAATCCACTTTCGAAATTAAAGTCGATCATGTTTTTCGTGACATTCACACTTTAGCTGTTCGATAGTTTTTGCCATATTTTTACAAAGGAAATGAACTAAACTTTAAGAAGTCAAACCGCCAAAAATTGAATTTGAGCCTGAGCGAATTATGAGACTTGTCCTGAAAAAATAAACCACGAACTTTATCGACTTTCAAACTTTCTCTAAACATTTCTTTTGGCTGAAGCTTCTGACAGAATTGATGGAATAATTCACTGCTGAGTGCTCCAGAGTTCTGTATTATCACGAACACTTTTTACGTTCATGAAGCCCCTCCCCCACAAGATAAAGTTCACCTCATCTCATATGCCGACGACTTCCATCCTTTATCCTGAAGTTCTGACATCAAACTATTCTTTCGTCTTACAACAACGACTGTATTAAAGCACCCAGGGTGTTTTTCAACACTGAGCCTCTCGAACTGCGAAAAAAACTCAAAATTTTAGGCGTTACTTTTGACAGTCTGCTGAAAAGACAAGGCGCAGGATAGGATTCCAGAAAACCATAGCAGGTTAAACCTGGGGCCAAAGCAAAAAAACTCTACTTTCAACTTACAAAGACCCATAATCGATTACGCCTCCCCTGAATGGTCCTACCCGGCCAGTAACACCTCAAAAAATCTCATGCAGGTTACTCAAAAGGTTACACTGCACGCTTGCAATTAAGCGAAATTTTAAACGTCAAAAACCACAACACTATCTTAACTTCTCATTTTTGATTTGTACTTACCGATCCCATCACCCAAATTTTTTTTCCAGATTCACTCTCTTTCCTCTCACCAAACACGCACTCTTATTTTGAGTTGCTTCAAAAAAAAACACTGAAGTTCTATAAGGCTAATTGTTAAACAAAAATCACCCCCGTAAACTCTCAAAACCAACCGACTAGACAGCTCCCTTTCCCCTTTATGCCCAACATGCACCCCACGAGAGTTCAACGTGGAGACGGTAGAGCCCAACTCGACCCCGGGCTAAAGCAACAACAACAGAACTGATTAAATGATTCAGTGATTCTGGTGAATTCGTGACTAAAACGACTTATTATGTTATCACACAAACCTCACACCTTCCCCCAAACTTTCTCTGAGGTGCCCGTAATCGCATGGACAACCACTGGAGAAAATGGTTGCTTCCTGATCCATCAAATCCAGACAGAAAAACTATAAACATAGCCAACAGACAGTTGAAAAAATCAATGAACGCAAGTAAACAAAAAGACTAAAAAAAACTCACTTGGTTTTTGAAAAAACTTCAACTTCCGCTTTCCAAGAGAAAAAAATGGCCTTAAAGCTTTTTGAAATTCTATAACAATTTATGATCGAAATTTTTCATAAAGTAACCCAATTTCAGAAAACTGGATCAATAAGTATAATTTTTTATTTCACTGGAAAATCTGAAAATTAAATTCCACTTTCGAAAGTAGAAGTCGATCACGTTTTTACGGGATTTTACACTTTTGCTATTCAAAAGTGGAGTTTTCCTTGATTGTAACAATGGAAATGCACTGAACTTTAAAAAATTTCAAGCCAAACCGCAAAAAAAATCGAATTCGAACCTGAACAAATTTTAAAACTTTTCCTGAAAAAATGAAGAAAAAATCATCGCGACCTTCAAAAGAGTCTGAACTAAGTGCATCGACTCTTAATAATAAAGAAAACTATAACGCAGGAATGAAATACGAAGAGTCGGTTGTTAGAAAAAAGCTCAATCTGCAATGGATTCGTACCTGTGCCCTGCTTGTTTGAGAGTGCAGGTGGGAGCAGGTGGAGATTGTTGGCATTGAGCATGTTGAATGCAGTGTTGGCTACCTCCATGTGAGTGAGAGACAGTTGGTGTGCCAGGAGTCCACTTCCAGGCACCACTGACTCCGCTCGACGGAACATCTCATAGGGAGTGGTGGCAACTCCTGAAAACAAACAAACATAGCCATCATACAGTCGCAAAGGTGTCAATAAACCCAAGGACAAATGGGTCCGACAATTATTTAATAAAATTAACCCAATTTGAGAAAAATGGATCAATAGGTATATGTTTACTCCGCTGGGAAATATCAAAATTGAAATCCACTTTCGAAAGTAGAAGTCATTGAGGGTCTGAAGCTGAAAACGTAATTAGCATTCCTTTTAGCAACTGAGTTTCAATTGAACATAAAAAAAGCAACAAGTCAAAGTTTAAGACTTTTTCCCCGAATATATCTATACGACCTACATAACATAAGTGTCTTCATTGCGTTCATTGACACTTAAACTATTCATTTCTCTAATCAATTAGTATAAAATATCATCATACATTTAATTTAAGTTGAACGGTTGGACAACCATTCGTAGCAAAGCATTGCCAAGTAGCAGACAAGGTAGATGACTTCACGAACAGTTATTACAGATTTGAATCATGATTTGAACTGCGAAAAAAATGTTTCTGGTGCCGAGAAAAGATACTTCAGTTTCCTGTTTTTAATATTGTCTAATGATATTATTGGTTCACAAATGGTTTAAAATGTTTTAAATTGACCAACTGAAGCAATGCACTATAGGACAATTTGAACTTGATTTCAAAGATTCTGATAGATTTACAAAATATATCAGGAGAGAACCGACAGCCAACCGACAGCCAAATACTAGTATGTTGCTGTTCCAATTTCCATGGTTTAGTATGTCGCCGTCGACGACGAGTTTAATGTCCAGATTTGATAAAAAATGATAAAAAGGAACTTGTCCAAAAAATAACTCCAAATATGCACGAAGCCGGAAAAATCATCGAACGAAATGAAAATCCAATATTGTCTAAGGATATTATTTGTTCCCTATTGGTTTAAAAAAATTTCAAGCTAAGCAATTGAAGCAATGCACTATTGAGCAAAATTAAGATAGTTTCGAAAAAATGAAAGATTTATAAAAAAAATCAAGTGAGAACTTCAGCTTATAGGCAAAAGCTACAACGTTGTTGTTCTGAATTGCATTGGTTAGAAAAACATCGTCATCATGATCATCATCATCATCATCAAAGTCGTTGAGTTTTACACCATCTTCTATTCAAAGGTGAACTTGTTGTCCAGTTTGGTGTGACCCCTCATCTATCTATACTGGACATTTCTTTTTTGTAAAAACTGTACATATATTAACAATCTGTTTATGTTGAGAAGTATTCTCGTGACGTAGTATAGAATGATGGAATTCTTTTAACCAATCATAATCATTAAACGCTCCTATTGGCTAAATGATTTTTGCAGAAAACGAATTATAGTAGCATATTTAGCTGTACAGTTCATGCACATATACTGTATACAAAAGGGGCGGATTTAGGAGAGGGGAGTGCTGACGCTCCCCCTCTCAGGGATTCGACCCCCTGCCCGCCCAAAGGCTCCCCTTCGTACTATTTTGAGATATCAATTTTTGGTGACGGACCCTAAAATTTTTCTAAACACGCCAATGTACACTAATTTTGAGGGGGGAGCGCGCGCCGAAAAAACGCGTTTTTTGGTCAAAATTTTCCTAAGTGCCAAAAAACGCCCTTTTTGACTTGATTTTCAAAGTTTCGCCAGCGGCACAGAAATTTAGGGCAAAAACAGGGCCTTTGTAGTGCTTTGGAAGAGCTCGGAAAATCAATTTGGTCGACCTAAAAAAAAGATCGACAAAATTTTTTGAAAATCCGCCACACCCCCCGCCCCTCCTCGAGAAAATCCTAAATCCGCCCCTTATGAATCTGCTTATTTTGTAATCGCTCAATGTTAATTTTGATGGCCTGCATTTATTCGCTCTTGGATATTTTGCGATCTTAATTACTCACAGATTTTGGCGGTGATCTTATTATCCGAACATTTTTCACAGACAGCAACAAATATTTTACAGAGAACGATTCAATTTTATCTTTTCTTCACTTACCCTGTGGGAATTGGGGTGGCTTCACTCTCAGCACCGACACTGGCTTCGTGAAGGAGATCGAGGGAACACTCACAGTCACTACATCAACCGCACTGTTCAGCTAAACACAACAGCAAATACTGCACAACCTTTTTATTTCACCCCATCAAAGACATTTAAATACACAAAAACCCCACAAAAACAAACACAACATTTAAACTTTATGCCAGGATCAGATGCGGAATAACAAAAGATTTTACTTCGGGAATTCTAATTCGACACCCTCGCCATCCAAAGGTCCCTCCTTTGGTACTTTTTTAAAATAATTTTTACAGACAAATGATAAAAACATCAAAAAAAATTATTCGTAAAAATATACTGATTTAGTTGATTGCGCGTTACAAAAATCACGAATTTGAGGGCAAATACTTTATCCTTTGACGCAGAATTAATTAAGCAAATAATATATTAAAGTCGTTTCAGCGTTTTAGAAGAGCTTAGAAAATCAAGTCGTTCGACCTAAGCCCTAGATTCATTGCTGGAGCCATAGAATCACCCACTTCTTCATAACACTTTGCTTTATTTCTCATTTTTGTGAGCTCGCTCCCCCCTTACACCAGCCATTATCCCACTTCATTACATTCCCGAGTTAACGAAAAGTGCTTGTCAAAACGAGTTGCTATATTCGGCCAATAGTTGCAGAACAGGCTGCCGAGCAAAAAGCGCTCCTCAAGATGCTGAACTTGACGTTATGTTGAACATATTTAACCTGTTTTTGGTACTGTTGATTTGCTGCATCCAGCTCTTTTGTCCATGCATCTACTGGACATTTGAACACCTCGATATACTGCTGGCCAGTGGTAGTATCTAAAAATCAATTAGAAAATTGCGAAATTTTCAGAACAAAATGTATCACTGTAAAACTTAAGATTTTGAATGACCAGTTTTAAAAAAAAACTAAAACTAGTGATCAATTTTACGACAATTTTCGCTTTTCATGGAAACCGGAGCTCCACTAGATAAAAAAAATATGCTCGGACTTTTTTTGGTTACGATGCTTCGAGTCGGCCGGGTTTCTCCGTCTTTTAATTCTAAAACTTCTCCTTTTGCGCCTGCATAAATCCCAACCCTGTACCTCATACCTGCTACACGTATCCTCCGTTTCCAAGCAAGCGTATGGTGCCACGTTTGTGGATGGATTCATTTAAAATGCAGTGGTCTAACCACGCTGAAACATCACAGAGACTTTTACTGTCCCACCTGCACAGCAAATTATATTTTGCCTCTCCCAGTTGCTAACAACAATTTTTGCAACTATGGCTTTATCTCTTCTTCAACAATATTTACCCAGTAACTACACCCCATCTGGACTTCAAACACCGATACAGTTCAACTATCAGCGTCAAACCCCCAGTACCAAGCAAATCATTCCCACTATCAAACTAAGTCGCTGAAAATTGTGCAATTAAACTGCAACAGCATCTCTGGGAAAGCACCAGAAGTAGAAGCTTTGCAGTGCGAGTACCAGATCCACATTGCGTTTGTTCAAGAAAACAAATTGATATCAAACACCGCACTCCCTCGTAAGGGCCTAACTACACAAAACTTAGAAAGGACTGACCGAAAGAGGTAGAGGATCTTCTTACTGCAATCCAGAATTCTCTTCTGTAGGATGAACACGAAAAATTGAAAGACGAAAAAGGCCAACAATCAGAATGTTAAGGCCAACTAATGTCAAGGCCAACAATCAGAATTTCCGTATCACGAATTTCTAAATCCCTTCCCATAGCAGATGTCCTAAGGACTATAAAGCATCATCAGAAGAGAACAGCTTTAAACTGGGCAATGCAAACGAGCATTCCCCATTTTGAGCTATCCGAAAAAACTTCAAAATGAAATCGAAGATACACTTGCAAAGAAACCTAAACAGAATGATGTTAAGACCGCAGAGCGAATTTTTTGTGATAAGTTTTTCTCCGAAGCCGTCACCATATTCCTGCAGGCTCTCTTTGTTACCTCAACTCTGCTCTAAATGAAGAAACAAAAAATCACCAGCTCAACAAAGAGACAGTTTTAGAATTTCGACTCCGTCGGATAAAATTTTAAACAAAGAAATCATGTGACAAAGAAGATGAATGAATCGTCGAGTAGTAATTTCTGGAAAGTGGTCAGATTGTTAATTGGTTTTAATGACAAAGATTTTAAAGGCTAAAAACAAAGCAAACGCTTTGCGATACACAAACTGAAATCACAAAAATAACAAAGTTCAAGGAGTAACAGAGAGAAGATCTCTCAAACTTAACTTTATTGTTTCTTTGATTTAAACCACTCGAAGCCTTACGAGCAGAGAGTCCATGTACGGTTCATCTGAAACACGTTGGCCCGTTAGCTATTAGTCTTTTTAACAATCGTTTTGTCCCCGGAAATCATATTTCAAATCATACCTCAACCGAAACATAACAAAGACCTTAAATTGTCCGAACACTACCGGCCAGTCTCAATATCAAGCCCAGCTGTTAAAATTTGGGAACCTTTGATTTACCCAACCCTGGCCAAACACCTACTCAAAGCCGACCATCGACATGGATCTCACCCAACTCTTTCAACCACTACAGTATTATCAGTCCTTGATTTATTTAAGTGATGGAATTAGACAACAAAGCCCACGCATCCGAACAATTTTGGCCACGCTAAACTTATCCAAAGCTTTTTGTCATGGTCTGCTATCGTTCTCTTCTGGATCTTCTTCTTGACACCAGCGTAGGGGTAGCTCAAGCAGATGGTTATCAAATAATCTGAGTGATCACAAATCGAAAAAACTTCTTGGGGATGATATGTCAACATATCGGAATAAACGCACAGGCTCAGTACTGTAACCAATTTTATTCAGTTTTTACTTTCAAAATGCGCCTCTTTCCCCAGAATTGAAATAATAATCATACGCAGACAACAACCTTTTTTCCAGTCAAAAAGCTTTCAAGAGTCCTCCTCTACTTGAAAAAAAAAAACACTTTTTTACGTCTACATCTATTGTTTTCTCCTCATCAAGAGTTCAATATCGAGCCCCCAGCGCAAATGGACAATACACCCATTCCGTTGGAGAAGCACCCTAAAATACTTAGTCTGAGCCTTCTTTGACCCACCCCTCAACTTCCCAGAGCACTGTAAGAGAACGACAGCAGAAGTCTAGCGCAGGATAGAATTCAATACCGAGCCCCAAGGGCAAATGGACAATACACTCCTTCCGTTGGAGAAGCACCATAAAATACTCAATCGGTGCCATCTTCGACCCACCCCTCATTTACCAGAGCACTGTAAGCGAACCACAGCAAAAGTCTAGCGCAGGTTAGCGATCATGAAGCCCTTATCTGCGACGAAATGAGGTGAGTCAAAAAAGAGGTTATTGGTCACCTTCAAGGCTTCACTTAGACTTATTTTAGACAAGGCAAAATTTTAATTCAAAATGTGGCTTGCAGGACTATAACGGGTTGTACAAAAAAGTGCCCCAGAAAATTTACAATCTGAATGTAAAAACTTAAATTTTGCCCACCACCATCAAGTCATCTTCACTCAGTTAACCCTGAAAACTTACACATCCCCTCAAACCTCTTACTTTTATACCACCATCACTCAAGACCTTTCCGAAGCATCCGCGCGTCAAAACTTGAGTAATATAGTCCCGCAATAGAGCATATCCTCACAGAAACAACCAACGCCTTTTTACAACTTTGAGTGACTTCAACGAAATTACATATCAAATTGAAAACTGCACACGAAAAATGTCGAGCAGGCAATTGCGGAAGCACGTTTAAGCCAATTGCAGAAACCATTTAAGCCGAAGAAAACAAAATTGAAAAAAATACTCAGCAAAAAAAAAGCTTTTTTGAAAGTAACAACAAAAATTCAAATGAAATGGCAATTTAAATTGCAGAGATACTCAAAATATGTTTCCGGGCATTCCATCAGAAGATAAAAGCCAACTGATTTCGAAAAATTAAATGTTAACCCAAACAAAGACTATGTTCCGATTTGATAACGCTTGCTAATCGCAAGCGCAACTATTCGCACTTCTTCGGAAAATTAATCCAATTTAAGAAAACTAGATCGATAGGGTTTCAATACGCTGAGAACTTGAGTTAAAACTTACTCAAACTTTGAAATTTGAAGTCAAATTTTGAAACGTGAAACTTCTTTTAGCAAATGATTTCGGTCAGACGAAATAATATTCTCAGAAACTCAACAGAACTCTTCTCGTCTGCTTCAACTTCATGCACAGAACAGATTATACTAGCAACGTTGACATGTACTACTCAACAAAACTTTTCACCTCAACTACGAAAAAAATGTCTATGGAATATTCTAGCTATGTTCGTTCCATGATATTATTTTTAACACTGCAAAAATTGAAGTAGACAGTTAAAATATCGACCACGAGAAAAAAGACCCTTTCCCATTATATCTACTTTTAGCCTAGTAACCAAAAACACTTACGCCCACTTCAGTAAGGTTTGTGTATTACGGTCGGGTAGGGCGTGTTATTTGCTAAGGAGAGGTGGGTTTTATTAGTAACTTGAAGCTTAACATCAAAGCGTACTCAAAATTCCCGATAAAACCGATTGTTTAAGTCCCTGCTGAGATTTCGAATACCGGAACAGTAGCTGCATTGATAAATCAGATCTACCTTGCCTCCCTCACCCCGCCAAATAATAACAACAATTTAGCGATGCTTCTAATGGTTTTTCGAGATTTAATATGAACTTTACACTGGGTGCGTAACCGCGTGAACAGAAATTATAAATACAAGGAATCACAAGCTGGGAGGGGGAGAGTGCTTACTTGCATGACTTTAGCAGTGTTATTAATCACAAGCAGTGAAGACTTACTCTTCAAGTAGAGGGCCAATGCAGTAGCGTCTGGTGATAGCCAAGTGCGGACACAACCGACTTTGGCCTGGAAGCTATCGGTCTCATTCAACACTTTTACAAAGTGTATCTTATCCAGGGCAGTTATGAACAGACGACACAGCTCACTCTCATCCTCAGCCAACACCACCTGCACACTCTCCATCAACGAGGCCACCTTCAACTTCTGAAAGCAGCAGAAAAAGGAGTCTCACTATGAGATTGTGAAAAAAAAAACACTTTCCTTCACGCTAGCGCCAAGTAATAGCTTTGGCGATCTGAGTTCTATGTTAACTCTGTTCATCTTGTAAAATAACTATCTAAAAGTGTACTAGCTTTTTCATGTGGCTATTTGAAAAATCAAAAAGAGGACTGAAAGAGCCAAAATGGGTAACTAATTGGTTGGCATGGCCGTTAAAATTATGTTATAAATTTTAAACCTTAAATTGGACTGGTTCGTCACTCCACTCCATTAGGACTTCGTGTGATTTGCTGTCGAATATTGTGAGTTTGTCGTCAAATGTCCCGGCGTACAGCCAAGAAGCATTTTTGTCCGATGAGGCACACATACATCTAACATCGTGGCAGTTCTGAAAAAAAATAGATGACTTTTTCCTTTTAAAAAACATAGCCAACAGATAGTTTGGAAAAAACTCAATTAATCCAAAAAAAAAAGAAAACACTGACTTGTTTTTGTGAAAAAATTTCTTAACTTTCGAACTTCAAAGAAAACATATGTCCTTACAAACTTTTGAATTTCAAGATGAATTAATGATTGACACAATTTGAGAAACCTGGAGTATTCGGCAAAGTTTATAGTACGCTGAGAAATCTAAAATTAATACTATATTCGAAAGTATAAAACGATCAAGTACGTTTTTTCCGCAATTCTCTTTTTCGTAATTGGAGATCAAATTTTGTCTGCCTTTTAGCAAATGAACTTGAAATGAACTCAAAAGTTCATTTCAAATGATTGCCCTTACGCACATATACCTAAGGGCAATCATAAATGCATTAATATGATAGAATGCACTTTCTTTAGTCATTAGAGACTTAATGACTTTTCCTGACAAAAAAAAACAAAAATCATCTCGACCTATATAAGAGCCTGAACTACAACAACGCACTGAAAAAATTAAAGTTTCACTTCGGGCTATTCTACACGCCTCCCATCAACCCAATTTCAATTTTAGTTCTGATTGAAAACTACTTTTACGTTGTCATAATGGAATGAAACTTTGCATGTTGAACAAATAACAATTGTGAATACATTTGTTTTCTTACCTTACTTCGTAACATCACACAATCAGCCATACAAACACTCAATCCAAATTTAAAATGTGAGGGGCGAGAGAGGAAAAGCGCCTTCAATTCTTTCATTAAACCTTCAGAAGCTTCCCAACAATCAAAAGTTTTGACAGAACAGGATATAAACAAAGCATCATCAAAGAATGCCTTTAAGGATCATAAAATGGCAATTTTATCAAACAAAAATTTGCCTTCATCAAACAAAAATGAAGACAGCGCATTAAAAAAATATATTCATGCATTTACAGGTATACGTCAAACCTCTTGCTAAGAACTTCTACTATGCGCAAGGCGAAATGAAGCTCGCACCCGTTGTGATACATCGAAAGCATAGCATTAATCACTAGTCGTCAAAGTGAAAAAATAGCAAAAAACTGAACACCCGCCTCGATTTTTAATATATACGTAGACAGCAGACAAATTGAAAAGCGTCAATGAACGCAAGGAAACAGAAAAAAAGCTGAGTTAATTTTGAAAAAAAAATCAACTTTCGAACTATGACCTGAATTCTCTGAATTTCAAGAAAAACTTCTGATTGGCAAAGTTTTGATAAAAATAAATCAATTTCAGAGAAAACTGGATCAAAAGGTAAAGTTTTGATTCCACTGAGCAACCTTAAATTTCATTTCTACATTCGAAACTAGACGTCGTTCACGTTATTTCGCGCCATTTCCACGTTTGTAGTTAGAGAGCTTAATTTAGCCCCCACCCTCTCCCCATGTGTAGCAGATGAATTTGAACTGATCTCAAAAGTGCACACTCTTAAACGCATTATTAAGTATGAATGCACATCTGTGGTTAAAAGAACGAACATCTCTTGAAAAGAAAAAGGAACAAAAAAAATCACCAAGACATATAAGAATATTAACTACGTTCAGTGATTCCTAAAATTAACAAGTCGAGAAAAAGACAATAAATAAGCAGAAAAACAAAATTTAGGAATTCACAGAAGCACAAACCTGCATAAAAATTTAGTTTCACCTTTCGAACAACTCAATATGCACTGACTTAGCCGATATAACGTGCTTGAAACATCTGTAGGCTACTTCATAGAGAAAAGGAGAGCAAAAAAATGTGCAACGTGATAACTCACTGCAGGCCTAACTTCGCAAAAAAACTTCACGTAGGCTGAGCTTCATAAAGCAAAGGTCGAACTTCACGAAAAAAAAAGCAATTCACTGAAACTTAGGTCGGTATAACTTAGCTGAATTTATAAATAAATGAATTTCAAATTTTAAATGCTATTTGTACCAACATGCTACCATCAAAAAATTGGTGTTCGCAGAATTAAAAACGAACAAACAGTTCGAAAAATGTCAATGAACTAAAACACTGCCAAAAAGAATGTCGATTTTTTCAGAAACTTCGAAGAAAAAATATAGCAAGTCGAAGCCTATCTAAATTTCAAGATTAATTTATAATCAACCTCAACGTTTTTCTTTCTGGCCATTTCTACTTTCTCAAGTGGAGACCGTAATTTGACTTTCATGTGATAAAAGAAAATGAATTTAGCTTGAAAAGATCGAACCAACCACGGACAACCAAACTTGAGCGTGATAAAAAAAAATAATTTTTTCTTGAAAATGAGAAAAATCTCGAACTCTGTAAGTCTCTTCACTATGTTCAGTGAAAATTAAAAACAATGACTCAATTCTAGTAGCAAAGCTAACTTTTTGCAAGTATTCCGAAAAAATAAATCATTTACTTGAACTTAGAGTAAAAAACGGAAGCTGCAGATTTTGTGAGCAATACAATACCGAACATACTTAGTTTGTACAATGAAACTTATGGAAAAAAACAAGCCTATGATGGCTCTTGAAAAACTGAGCCAACAGACAGTAGGAAAAGGAAACCAAAAAAAATTATTGAACAATTTTCAACTTTCGAATAAAAAAATACATCACTTTTAAACTTTTTAAGTATCAAATAATGTTATGATCGGCATTTTTGTCCGCCAAGTTATCTCATTTAGAGAAAGTTTTCATTTCGCTGGGATATCTGAAAATTCAAATCCACTGTCGAAACTAGAAATCGATCACGTTTTTGCGACCTTTACACTCTTGCTGTTCGATAATGTCTTTTGCATACCTTTTAACAAAGGAAACCAAATTAACGTGAGAAAAATCGAAAGTCAAACCAAAAAAAATCAAGTTTGGGTGTAAACAAATTTTAGCTTCTTTCCGAAAAAAAATTATCAAGACCTATTTAAGTGAAAACAATCACTTCGTTACACTTAAAAAACAACCGTTTATTATGATACAATGTTAAGCGCAATCACTTAAGACCTTTTTGAAAGCTATTGATTTTACTGATTAGCGATTGAAGCTTTTCTGATTGTATTTCGTTGATGACTTGTGTAATTAGCATTAGGTCTACTCACTGGTATGTCTGTGGGGTTGCTGTATACTGGGATACTTCTCTGTGCTGCCTTGCGTGCCTTCTCAGCCTCAATGCCCTCTATCTGCTCCCACGCCACATCAAACACCAACTCCACCATCTAGTGCAAATAATACAAAACTAGTCGATTTGATTCCGGGTGTTTTTTTTTGCTGTCATTTAGCTTCATGTTTAATTTAGAATTCGATTAAATTTCAGAACCAGATTTGAGCATCATGATAAATGATTCCATTTATATTGATTCAAAATACCGAAAAAAAAAGCTACAAACACAAACAAATTGAAAAAAATTGTTAATTGCTATCATTTTTTAATTATTAAAATACGTTCTGTCGTTTATCACTTAGCAGTCCTTTTCTTTTGTGTTTCAATTTGGTAAGCAAACACTGAGTCTATTTGACCTTGTCTATCATTCTGTAGGGCTGAGGCAGGTAGTCGAACAAAATTTCAGGGTCCAAAACGAAGTCCTCATCTTTCAGCTTGAACTCAGATATTGAGGGCGTCTGCAAAGAGGGCTCCCCTTCATCTTTCCGCAAGTACACTGGCATTTTACCCTCAGATGCAGTATAGGGAATCAGCGTACTCTGAAAATTACACTTCGCTATCAATGAATTGTGTTTTTGATTAACAAGAGAAGGCAGGTTGATGACGCCGATGTAATATAACGCATGTTTTCACTTGGGTACTAGTTTAACTGTACTAAACTAGTTTACATGATTGGCCATGTTTATTGGTTCTCATTACATAAGACGACAGGACATTAGGACGACAAGGCATTTAGACGACAACATTTTCAGCATTGTAGGCACAGATGATTAAATATCTGGTGAAGTTTTAAGAAAGTTTTCTTAGAAAAACTTTTTGCCAAAAACTTGTACGAAAATTGATTCAAAGTCGTGATACACTTCAATTTATTTACAACCAGTTCATAATAATAATTTCGCGTAGATACGAAACTCCAGTTTTCTAGAAACACTTTTTGAATTTTTAAACCTATCAAAATTCTTGTTTAAGCTTAATAAATTCTTAAAATTGAAGGTTTATACAGTTGAAGCAATTTGACAGATTATATTGTCTTAATGTCTAAAAATTATTTCGTCTGAAAATCTGTCGTCTTAGTCGCCGGACACCCAGTTTATTGTCTGATAAGATGCACAACGTATCAATAAGAAAACAAAAGTTTAAAGACCCGCTCACTTGAGTAAAGCAGAACCACGCCTAAAGGGTTTGCCAACATTGTTTGTTAGTAGAAACGTGTCGCAAAAATCATTGACCAAAATTTCGGAGTATATTTGTCAATGGATTTTTCATAAATAACATGGCAACCTAGTCAACAAAAATGAAAGCCGCTTTTGAAAAAAAATTAACTTAATGTCGCAAACAACGAGATCTATCAAAAAATACAAATGGATTAGAAACTTCCAAGAGGGGAAACTAAGGCTAAACCAAAAACAGAGAGTCAAATTGAAATCGCACAGAATCAGAATTAATAAATCAGCAAAAAAGCGTAAAAAATGCAAATTTGAATAGAACGGGTATTTGAAAAGCAGACATGCTCAAAATATGCCTGTTTAATGAAAGAACAGAACTGAATCAGTGATTCGGTTACACAAGTTGTTTACCAGGGGAAAATATAATGCTATTTTCTAATCTTAAGGAACAAACATTTATGAGAGACCAAACAAGCTAACTAGTACGGACCCTTTCCACCGTTCAAAAACAGCCCTCAGTATTATAGCACAAACAGCACTGGTAAAAAAAAAGAAAAACGTTTTTTTTAACATGCTCTTTATCAACATTGGGAACTGTCAATAGACCCAAGGAGACCAAACACTGACTGACTTTTTTATGAAGTATTATAGCACAAGTTATTAATAGAACTTAGTATTAGTAGACCAAACAGCGCTTTTGAAAAAAAAAGTTTTTTGAACATGATTTTCACCAACATTGTGAAGTGTCAAGACCAAGACAATAAAACTGACTGATATTTTTTTATGAAGTTCAAAGGAAAAAGTTCCGGGTTTCAAAGAAAAAGTATACCCATATTGAAACTCAACAATATTTTATGAATGAAGCGGTTGTTTTATCGAAAAATATCAATCATAAAAGATCGTTGAATTTCAAATAGTTTCAAGATCATGCATGTTTTTTCTTTAAAACCAGAGACTTTTGAACTTCGTAAAAAAGTCAGTCACTTGTAAAGCAAAAGTAAGTCACGTTTTTTCGCGCCATTTGATTTCATTAAGTGGACAGCATAATTTACCTTACCTTCAACAAATGAGTTTTAAGCGAACTTAAGGAATCAAAACTCATACCACAATAAAAATGAGCACGGAAATTTCAGAAAAAAAAACGAAAACATATCACAAAAAAAACACAAAAAATATTGTTGAATTTCAAATAGTTTTGAACATGATGAATGCATTTTCTTTGAAACCCAGGATTTTTTCTTTGAACTTCCAAGAAAGTCAGTCACTTGTAAAGCAAAAGTAAGTCACGTTTTTTCGCGCCATTTAATTTCATTAATAGGAGAGCATAATTTACCTTCCCTTTAACAAATGAGTTTTATGCGAACTTAAGGAATCAAGTCATACCGCAAAAAAATTGAACATTGCAAGATTATTAAGAAAAACGAAAACAAATCACAGAAAAAATCTAAAACAAATCAAAGAGAAAAAACGAAAACAAATCACAAAACATTGAAGATTGTTGATTTTCAAATAGTTTCAAGATGATGCATGCATTTTCTTTGGAACCCGTGATTTTTATTGTGAACGTCTTTGAAGATGTTTTTGAACTCAATTGCAGGTGAAATCTTAGCCGATATTGCTTCAAATACTCCACTGGCACGACTTTAATCTTGTTTCCTGATTTTTGTGTGGTGAAAAAATTATCTGACTTCAAATCCTGCTCTACGTGCACGAGACAATAAACCCAATCAAAACAAACTTAAAAAAACTATTTTGGTTGACTACTCCAAAAACAACAATTTATCATAGTTTCTGTCGTAAAATTAGCACGTTTGAGAAATGAGAAATCTTGAAACGTTTCATAAGTCAAATTTTCTTGCTTCAAAATTTCTCAAAAGTCTATGTTTAAGTCAAAATAACGTAAATCTCAAGTGAACTAAGATTACCGATTTATCATATCATTATGATCAGTAACTTCCAGCACAAAGATACGCAGCTCCATTTTTGTAACGTTTTCAAACAATATAACGAACTAAACATTTCAATACTATTTTAACACAAGGAGTTGGAACTTGGGTTCTTGGTTGTAATCGTGAAAAGTTCTATCTAGGCTATCACTTGGAGCTCGTGTACTTTGTAACAGCTTTAGTTCCCTCGCTGACTGCATGCTTGGCTAATTCTCCGGGTAGAAGCAACCGTACTGCTGTCTGTATCTCCCGACTGGAAATAGTTGATCGCTTGTTATATTGCGTAAGTTTGGACGCCTCTGCTGCGATGCGCTCAAAAATGTCATTCACGAAACTGTTCATTATTGACATGGCCTTGGCCGAAATTCCCACTTCAGGATGAACTTGCTTCAGGACCTTATAAATATAGAAGGAGTATGTCTCCTTTCGCTTCTTCTTCCTCTTACCATCGGTGGAAGGCTTCTTTTGGGCTTTGGAGGACTTCATCGCTTTCCCTGGTACGCTTTTTGGTGCCATGCTTACTTGAAAATGGATAACTGTTTTAGGGCTCATCTAGACATTATATGCAATCATGCAGGCATGGATAATTTCTTCACTTTTCTTTAATTTCGATCTAAATGAATCTAATTGAACCAGTCTCAGAAAGAGAACTTGATTTAATCTACTTCATGAGAAAATTGAAAAACTCGTCTCAATGGAAAATTTTATAAAAGAAGCAGACCTTCGCACTACTTGCAATTGCGAAAGAAAAACGAGTCACAAGCTACCAGCATATTCATCGCAGCAAATTTACTTCGAAAACACAGATCTTGCAGGCATGCTACAATATGACGCAATACAAAAAGCTGTCACGCTATGCATGGCCAATAGAGTGAGACCTGTATTCTCAAAACGCTGCTAAACCATTCAAAACTATGCCACTAGCATGAGTATGAAGTTCGACGTTAAACAATCTAAAAACTATGGGTAAAAACCCTGATCCTGCTCCGATAGCTTTTGATACATGCTTATTTGTATTGAAAACTACACAAAAACCAACAAAATATACAAAAAATTGTTCAAAATTTTTTCGAATGCAACGAAAAATCCGAAATCTTGGAACTGTATAGCCTGCACCTTTAGTATTTGTTTTACAAAAAGATGCGACGCGAAGCGATACAACTTGCGATACAACTCATACATAGCAAAGAAAATTTTACGTCCCCTTCAAAAAATTTAGATAGAACCTTTTAGCTCCTCAAACAACTCATAAGGAGAGCCTACATATTATCATCCGAAACCTTATAGGCCGAACTAAGATTTGTAGATTTTCTCAAAAAATGCCCGTTAGTGGACAAAAATTTTCATAGAAATGACTAATTATTTAGGTCATTTACAGCAAAAAAAAGTCGCCTGGTACCCGATTGAAAAAACCGTGCTTATCGGAAGGGTACAGATAGTCTAAAAATGGCGATAGGTCGTTGCTTGAAAATGTTCTGAGCTAGCATTTGGATTTTTTGTTGTCAAGGTTTTTTGTCATTGTTCATGGAAAATTTCGTCTTAGTTGCTTTGTTTCATTTTTTTTATCGCTAGCCTGCAAAGCCTATTTTGTGTGGTGCCATTCTAAGTTTTCATTCAAGATCTTAAATTTTTTTAGATCCTCTCATATCTAAAAAACTGTTGTGATTAACTTATTAAAAAGTCTAGCGACAGAAACAATACAAAAACTTCATATTCTGGCTAAGAGTGATAAATGTTGTCATAATTGTTGTGATAAACTTATTAAATAGATGTCCTTTTCCTTTAATCAAACCGTGTGTCTTCAATTGATTTTTTTAAAAGGTTATCAGAAGGTCAAAAGTATCATAGAAACCGAGGTTACAGTCATGAGTCCCTTCATCATGTATTCCAGTCAAAATCCTTGGAATTTTCTAGATATGGAAGTGATAATGATAAAAGAAGATGACAAGTGTTTAAGTCCTTTTCAATTAAAATCGATACGGGTTACGTTTCTTCAATAAGAACACGCAACTCGACACGAGATAATATAATATACAAGTGTTACAAGTAAAAAATTTCGTCGAAAGTTATTTTGTCATTTATTGTTCCGAGTACGCAAGCGGCGTTCGCAATCTGTATTGCCAGGGAGATTCTCTGTTTTAAAAAGCTGCCTGCTCTGGGTTCCTCAGTGCATATGCTTAGGTTCTTACAAAGCTTGCTCAAAAAAACTTCTGTGCTGGGGCCGGCCGCGCCCTGAATTTCAAAAGCTAGCGGTTGAAAAAGATATCCATCATTTACAAGATCTTCAAACTTGTCAATTTTTCGCTCTTCCGCTTCAGCGGCAGCCGTACCAGGGTTACAAACAGACCCGGCATTAATCCTACAAGGAGCTAAGGAGTCTACTACCGTTACATCCCACAAGAGCTGCTTACCATCAGCCCATGGAACGAGCGTCAAGCCGTCTGGTCGCTTCTGATCGGTCCTGTAGAGGTGTCGTGGTTCTAAAACAGACGGAAGTGACTAGATGATAGACTCTGCTTTATAAGGGCATTCAGGTTTGAATGCCTAGAGAATCTCCCTGCATTTTTGAGGCAAGAAAGACCATGCCAACCATTCTCGGTAACGTCTTTCCGCACACGCATTTATGCCGCTCGCATATTTTTGATCCAAATCGAAGTCCTATCGCAATTCTGAGTTGTTGGTTCGACAGTTTTAACCTTAAATTTTTGCACGGGTGGACGTTCAACCATTGAGAGCCAAATCTATCTTGGAACGCGTTGAACCTTTTTACGTCCGTTGGTTCGAGTCGTAAAATCAAGTCTGCAATTTCGCTGTCCAAAATTGGCTCCGTCCATTTTTTTTGGATTTCCTTTTCCGGAGCCATTTCAATTTTTCCATGGTCAAATCAGCGTTTAAGCGCATCATCATAGGTTGCATCCACATGCTCCAAACCAAAGATTTCGCTCAAGGCATCTTTCGCTCCTACTGCTGAGGCTAAGAAAGCGGGTAAAGAGAGTAGAAGAGCGGAAGAAACGCCCAAGCCACCTTTGGCTGCCGGGAGAACTGCTTGTAAAAACTGGTTATCATCCATTTTCACGTTAGTGACCTTGCATAACGAATTTCTGAGTAATTTATCGTAGCGTTCCATAAAATCATTTTGCAAAAAACAAGGGCTCGTACGCAAAAATATAGGAGTTTTGGCTTGTTAAAGCAATTTTTCAGGAGGTAAAAACCATAATGGGCGTCTAGTTTGATTTCATTAATTAGATTTACGAATACGACAATTTGTCCAGCTTAGGGCGGGTGAAGATCTATCCATCTATCTATGGCATACGTTATCTGAGCTTCATCATTAGATCGACCAATCAAAGTTGCAAAAATCCCTTCAAAAACGACTCGCAGGTAAATATTTTAATGACGGTGGTCTAAGATTCCACCAGAATATAAAAAAACCTGAAGATTTTACAAAAGCAGCTTGTACGAGGATAACTGAAATATAAAAGCAATCTTGCATCTGGCACGACGTTATCAAAAAACCATCAACGCTCATAATAGAAACTACGACGAACCGTGCACAGCTGAAGAACTCCTCGAAATTATCGAGCCATTCAAACCTCTAGTCAGTGCAAATTTGTAGACCCGTCGAAAAGGAAGTACAGGGATTTTTGACCGACTACTGAAGTTGAAAACCGAGAAACCTATAAAAATCAGCGTTCGCAAACACTTGACATCAAAAAGGAAGAAGGAAGGAAGTTTAGTAACCGGCGAGTCACAAAAATTTCATCCCTTTTCTGTACTGCAACTACAACTCCTGTAACTACAACTACATCTTCGTTAACTAGTCTTGAAGAAAAGGTCGAAAATTAGAAAACTAAAATCAAAAAGGAAACCAAAAAACAAGCAGCTGAAAAACTCCCAATTAAAATGTAATTATTTTCTTCACACTTGTTCTGCAGCGTTTGAAGTTTAATTATCTTGGAGCGGCGGAGTGAGTTGATAGAATTGTTTTGACTAGCTTGGTTAGGAGAACTCATTTTTTCTGGCAGTGCAAAAAATTGGCGAAGAAATTTATGGAAACCCCCTAGACCAAGTCATGGACTGTGAGCGTTGCTGTGAACACTGCAGTGCAAAATGTTCTAAAATGCCTGGCGCAGCCTATCAATACATGTGCCAAACTACATTAATCTGGTGTTGCACATCTTGCTGCCCATCCGTGAAGCAACTTTTCAGCGAAGAACAGGAAAGTGGAACCAATCAATCGACCAAAAAAATAAGAGCAGATTCCGACACAATTATGGATAACATGAAAAACATGATGATTGATCTCTATCAATTCATAGCAGAACCATGCCACGTAAAGGTTGATAAACAGACAGGAGTTTGCAAGTAGATGTAAATCGGAAAGTGAAATCTTTGAAATAGATCATCATAGAAGCAGCAGAAGAACAAAAGAGAGAGGAAGCTCAAGAAAACCGAAGAAAAATTAATATTATGATCTACAAAGCCCAAGGGAGCGCCCAGGAGAGCCCAGAAGAACCCAGGTGAATCAAGGCAATGATAGGAGGGAAAAAATAACTGAAAAATTGTCATCAAGTATCGACATGGAAGATACACAATATTTGAAAGCGATTCGACTCGGTCGGAAAACCGATGAGGATATAAACAGACCATTGTTGCTTTCCTTTAATTCTGAAAACGCTTTTATTGAAACAAACCAGAAGTTACCAAAGTTGAAAGAGGCCACTGCAGAAATAAGAAATCTAAGAATTAGCCAGGATCGGAGTCTGGAACAAAGAGAAAAAGAGCTAAAGCTAGTTACGAAAGCAAAATTTTTGAATGATCAGGAAGAAGGAAACTATGTGTATCTGGTTCGAGGAATGCATATTCTAAAAGTCAAGAAGAAAGCAAGACTAGAAATTTAGATTTTTCTGGTACACAAATGTTGACACTCTAACACAAACGAAACACCAGGAATTGATCAAACTGATTGAAGATAAAAAGAACCCACCAGTTGTAATTGCTCTCGTAGAAGCACAACCGAAAAATTCAAAAACCGATTGCAATCCAGCTTAGTACAAAAGAACAACTAGAAAATTGGTCAATAAACATGAATCCAAACGACTGCGGGCGAAGATTTTCAATTTTTGTAATTAAAGACATAGACTAATGCATTAGACAAAGATGTGAGGGATTGTACTGTAATCTTGGGTGACGCAAACTTTCCATCAGTCAAATGGGATGATTGTCGTGCAACCAATGACGAGGTGAGAAAAGAATTCAAATTTACACAAGCACTTAGGGTTGAATTTCTAACCCAACATATCGATGAACCAATTCGCATTACTGCCGGAGATAAACCATCACTACTACATATAGTTTTAACCGATGCCAGTCTAAGCGACCTGAACACTAATATCCAACCAGCTCTGGGACAGAGCGACCACGTTACCATAGAAGAGGTCGAAATGAGTTACCCGCGTACCGCACAAATCGTAAGACCATGGTTAGATACAACCTCGCTAAAGAAGACTACGACC